ACAAAGTTATCATTGTGCTTTAACAATCAAATGTAAGGCTTAATCCAACGTTGGATATGCTTTGATCAGTTTACTCCAACTGCAATGAAATTCTACAAAGACTACCACAATGACATGACAGATGTCTGCACTTACACACTGAATCTGAGAATAATTCTCAACCTCAGTAGCACAATGGAAGGGGATGGGGGAAGAAGAGTAAGACCAACTACGAGCATGGTGTGAACAGGTGTCCAATATAATGTGCCTCCAAATGGTCAATTCAACTGGGTCAAAAGTAGCCAGATAATTACCTGGAACAGGCATTACTGGAAATAGATTAGCGTGCCACCAACACAAAAGAAATGGGCAGAATGGCCTATGTCAAACATATCCAGGTTTTCACAACCAAGACTTGGGAAATGACCTTTGGTACATCACCTGTCAAGTTTTCATTTCTATAACAATGTCTTGCAAACAATACCTCAAAAACCTTTAGTCCACACAGAACAGTAAAGAGACCTATTCAGTGCAATACAGAGCTTTGACTCTGCTGTATCGTTTTCACTCTCAAGGATTAGAAACCTCAAGCCTTTCACCATGAGAAACAGAACCATTTTCTGTTCTCATAGATTCACACTTGGAATCACACTTGCAATATGAATGGCAATAAACTGGCGGGAGAGCCTTCAGCCACTCTGCCCCCAACCTCTGGAATTCCATCCCCCAGTCACTCCGTCTCGCTCCCTCCTTGGCCTCCTTCAGGTCCCGCCCCAAGATCAGACCCTCCTCTTCGACCATGCTATTGGCCACCCCCTTCCCCTCCCCTCTCTTCCCCCCCAACCCCAGCTCGGGTCTGAAATCTGTATACTGTCCAGCGCTTTGGGACGTCCTCCCAACGTGAAAGGCGCTATACAAATGTCATCTTGTTGTTGTAAAGACCAGACTGTATTTGCAGGTGAACACAGCAGCCCATTTGCACACAATAATACTCAATAAAGTGTCATGAAGTGAAGGACCAATTTTAATTGGGGGATTCAATCCATAGAACACAACAATCCCTTTGTCTTCAACTGAATAGTTTTAGATTCCTGAAACTAGAGCTGGAAAATCTATAACAAAGTACTCATCGCAATACAGCACTGTGTGAATGCTGGCAGTACATTTCTTCCAGACATTAGGTGTCAACCTGGCTCAGTTGATTACACTCCCACCTCTGAGCCAGAAGAGTGTGGGTTCAAGTACCACTTTGGGACTTTGAGCTCATCAGTTTGACATTGCAATGCTGGGGAAGTACCTCATTGCATGAGGTAAAAGTTGGTTTGATGGCATTTCAGTGGACTAGCTTGCGAAATGTCTCCACAAATGATCTCTATCAGCTTACTGTGAACTGTATGAACATGCAAATAATTGTCAGACTTTATAAATCAGCTGACAAACCTCCATATATGTAGAACAGAAAATGTGTGCATTGAATAACAGCAACATTACTACAGTTATAATAGAATAAAACATTTTTGAAAGTAAGAAATCAGTTTCAGAAAGGCCTTAAACTTTCTGTGCCCATAAAAGCATTTGGAAACGTGCCTGTCCACTTAAACACACACATTTATAAACCTATTTCCGTTAATAAAAAGAAAGCTTTTTTCAGACTATTGAGCACTACAGTAGATAGATTCAAGCATGTTTGCAAGACAAAGGATCGTCTGTCAGTGATAAGCTGTTGTGTAGAGCAACTCAGCTGCTTTCTGTGAAGGAAGTGAGGAGAAACATTTGTAACCATATAAATGGGGAGCTGCATGAAACTGTGCTGACTTCCTTGTTTTTCTCAGCACCAGGAAGTAATTTGAAAGATGTTGGGGTCCAATTGCTTTGCACCTCACTATATGATTACATTGTGATACAGGCATATTATAGCCAGGGGGAAGAAATCAAGAGTTGCACAACCATAGGAAAAAATACCTTGTAACTTTAATAAGGAGTAATGCATCCATCAAGGAAACAACATGAACAATTGTGTGTTTAATGACGTAACACAACTAAGTACAGATGATGTTCACAAACCATATAAATGGTATTTGAGGGTAATGCATTATGCTATGTCTATTGTGGAGTAAAGAAAGATCCCAGGTGTATTGAGTAAATAAACTTCCAAATTTCATATTTACAAACGTGCGGTGGGAGATGGGGAGGAATTAGATCTTCTTAGGGATAAGTTGTCTCTGAAAGGCAGGTCACCTGAATATCTCATACAAAACCAGCCAAGTTTACATTAAGTAAAGTTGGAATCTTTAGCTGTAAAAATATTGAGCTGTGCTTCTTTGATTGATAGATGATTAATGATAATACACTGCTATATGCCATACATCAGAACAATGACCAAGCGAGCACATAAATAAGATTAATCAGGTTGCGCTTTACAAGATTAACAAGGCATCAAAACAAATTTCTGACCAAACACGTCTGTCTTGATGAGCTATTTAGAAAACTAATTAAAGGATTATACACAAAAGTAAAAAATGCCACCCATATCACTTACCAACCCTGCAGTTAGAATTGCATAATACTTTGTATATAATTTGCAGGTTCAAAAATGTTGACAAATACTGTCCTTTTTGAAACTACCGGTGCTACAATTTGCTACCCTGGTCCACAATTGTACTGCCACAGTTAAAACACAGAGAAAGTCTCGCTCAGTGGGGTTTTTTTTTAAAAAATACCCTACAGCTGCTGGTTAAATGAGTCCTAACAAATTAATTAGCACCATTTAGGCAGTACTAGAAAAACTCAAGAGGCTTGAGGAGCACAGGCTCATATTGTTCCAAGGGAGGAACCCATAAACACTCTCGAGAGTAATTCTACCAAAACGTCCTGCTGTCTGCCCTTCCATGTAAACCTATACTTGAAACACCCCTTAATTAAAAGGCCCAACAGCAGAATCACTGGATATTTTAACAAGCCCATCTTGCACTTTTTAATTATTCATAAGAACTGGTTCAGGAAAACTATTAAAAGAATATTTGACAAATGAGTGGTGTGCTATAATGTAGCCAATATATGAGACGCACAAACTTCATGGTTGAGATAGAACTTGCGGGGAGTGGGGAAGTAGGCAGAGACCTGGAGTTTTGATTTACTATGTACAAACTACATGAGAAGGCAATAAATAAAATGAGTGGATCCTGGGCTATGTTGCCAAGTCAGTTATGTTCAATCCCTGGAAATGATGCTGAAGATCTACACCGGTTCTGAACGGATCGACTTCAAGGTTCTCACAGTCGTGTTTAAAATGCCTTCACTCTCTGGCACCTCCCTACCTCTCCGACCTCCTCATCCCCCAATCCACCATCTGGCACCTCCGCTCGACTGGCATCGGCCTCCTGCGTGTCCCTCACACCTTCTGTCCCACCACTGATGGTCACGCTTTCAGCCACTATACCCCGAAACTCTGGAACATTCTCACTCAATCCCTCCGCCTTGACCCCTCTCTCCCCTTTTCAAGTCCCACCTGAAAACCTTCCCCTTCGACCATGCTTATGGCCACCTTCCCCCCCACCCACCCCCCGGCACAGAGTCAGGCTTCGCCATTGTTAAGCGCTCTGAGACGCTGCCCTGCATGGAGGGCACTATATAAGTGCAAGTTGTTGCTGTTCTGGTTAGCTGGGTACCGCACCTCTGGTCAACATGACATGAAGCTAATTAATCAACAGCTACAATGAGTTACAAGGAAGGACAACTGAGACCGTAACTGAGACCATGACTAGAAAACAGAAAATGGCATTTCTCTCTGTTATTTGGCTAATAGCACATCTAACCTGGTAGTGCTTTATCCCCAACACTACCACTCTCATCCTTTATTTAGATGAGGCAAAATTTTACCCACAAAAGTTGTTAACTTTGTACAGTCATAGTCTGATTTATGGCTAGTTCAGGCTAGTGAGGTATTGGAAGGCTGCACATGTCAGATGATTAACATTTCTGTATGAATCATTGGTTTCAGCAGAGAATGAAGAAACAGGAAAGAAAAAGGCAAAACTGTGTTTTAAAGCAAAACTAGCTTTTTTTTCCAAATGAAATGCACTATCACTGATAATCTTCCCATGGCGAGTTATCATGCAGCCCGAACTAAAATTATGTGTCGGTACAAGTTTGCAACTGGAAAGTGCTGAACATTTGACAGGTAACCGGATGTTGTCCTTAACTTTTTTTAATATGCATATACAGTCAAACCTGTTCAAGCAACCACTTCCTGCTGACTGTTATCCTGGAATGGCCCGGTTCGCACACCATCGAACCCTTATTCAGAGGCCACCCTTATATAAAGGCCACTTCAGTCCAGTCCCCAGTAAAAGTTGTTTAAAGGACAGGTTTGACTACACTGCATTTTTTAAAACTACCTTGCACTGCTTCTTGCTCTCCCGATGGCCTGGAGTGGGGGTACAACAATAAAATCAGTCAAAACAGCCCCGACTCAGTGGTTTGATGTGCCCTAAGTTAACTGCTCTCAGACAGGACAGCCAGAGATGCTAACCTGGAAGTCAGTCAGTCAGTCAGTCAGTCAGGAAGGACTCTCTTGTCCAGTGCATATGTTGTCAATTTTATGAGAGAACAGTACTGGACTCTCCACAGTCTAATACACAGGCAATACCCAGGCTCACACATCAAGAATGGCGAGTCGGGCAAGGTAATCCTTCAAAATGTCACCACCTTCAGCAAAACAGTTTCCAGTATCATCTGAAAGTATTGCCAAGCAAGAAACTGTCATTTAGGAACACGTTCTGAGAGAGGGAGAGAGAGAGAAACATAATGCGAAACGTTTATGGGAACCTTGAGTGACAGAAATCAAATTGGATGACAATTATATATATACATATATATATATACTTCGTATGTTTCCTGGAAGGAGCATTTCATGAAAAGTACAGCGCAGCAAAAAAAAAGTTAGCTTTGCACACATAAAATATTGATGCATTGTACATTATTAGTATCAAAAACAACACACACAGGTTGGCAATACTCACCTCCCACCAGGGAGAGGGGCAGCAGGAGATGGTAGAAGAAGGCACAGAGCACTTGCACTTCCATCCCAAGGTCCCAACAGGAGGGTTGAACGGTCTTTGAGGCAGGAGCTGAGGCACCTCCAGAACTTCAACACACACACACACACACACAGACAGACACACAGACAGACAGACAGACAGAGACACACACACAGACAGACAGATACACACAGACAGATACACACACAGACACACACACACACAGACACACACACACACAGACAGATACACACAGACAGATACACACAGACACAGACAGATAGATACACACAGACAGATACACACAGACACAGACAGACACACACAGACAGAATCACACAGACACACACACAGGCACAGACACACACACACACACACAGACACACACAGACACACACACACAGCAGTCGGGCCAAGTGCTGAGCTGCCGAACCCCAACAACACCTCCCTCCCTCCCTCCCTCCCTCACTCAGCACAGGGCAGGAAGCCCAGAGCTGCCAACACAGCTTTGCGCAAAGCGATGATGATAACAACAACAACAACAGCAATAACTCCAGTCACTTTCCTGCCCTGTAAGTCAGAGCACACTTTGCTCGCACATCTCAGACAGACAGAGACTGAGACAGACAGAGACTGAGACAGACTGAGAGACAGACACAGACTCAGACAGACAGACAGACAGACAGACAGACTGAGACAGAGACGCACTGTGACTGACTGACTGACTGACTTTGGCACTTCAGAAGCGTTTCAGTTCATTTGGTTCGGTTGTGGTGACGGCTCTGGTCTGGTCTCCCCGCGGGGGCTCTGGGCTCTGGTCTGGTCTCCCCGCGGGGGCTCTGGGCTCTGGGGCTCTCCGGGAGGTCAGCACCGCCTGTGGCTCCCGGGACAGGAGCGCTGCGCTCCGCCCGCGATGATCATCATCACCATCAGCAGCAGCAGTGGGTCAGGGGATAGCGGGGAAGACGGGCACTCCCGAGGAGAGAGGGGGAGGGAGAGAGAGAGGGAAGGAGGGAGGGAAGGAGGGGAATAAATGCAAACTTCCAGAAGGAGGAGGAGGAGAGGAGCCCAAAGGAGTTGCAAAACGTGTTGCAGTTTGAACTTGAACGATGGGCTGAAACGCAGCAACTTTTTTTATATATCGCCCAGAGAGTCGCTAAAATCTTGTTCAAGAAAAAAAAATCCACACCCATCCAACACACACACACACCCCCACACACACCCCCACACACACACACCCCCACACACCCCCACACACACCCATCCAACCCCCACACACACCCCCACACACACACACACACCCACACACCCACACCCCCACACACACACCCCCACACACCCCCCCACACACCCCCACACACACACACACACCCCCACACACACACACCCCCACACACACACCCCCACACACACACCCACACACACCCACACACACCCATCCAACCCCCACACACACCCCCCCACACACACACACACACACCCACACACCCACACCCCCACACACACCCCCACACACACACACCCACACACACACCCCCACACACACACCCCCACACACACACACACCCCCACACACACACACACCCCCACACACACACACACCCCCACACACACCCCCCCCACACACACACACACACACACACCCCCCCACACACACACACACCCCCACAACACACACAACCCCCCCCCCCACACACACACACCCCCCACACACACAGTCACACCCCCACATCCCCCCACACACACACACATACCCACACACACACCCCCACAGTCACACACCCACACCCACACACACCCCCCACACACACACCCCCACACACCCCCCCCCACACACACACCCCCACACACACCCCCACACACACCACCAAAAAAAACACCCCCCCCCCACCCCCCCCACCCCCCAACTGCTCAGCCCACAGACAGACCAGACCGATCAACAAGGACCAGTATCTTTGGGAAGAGTTACACTGTGGCCCGTGTGGTGATTCCGGTAACGAGTTAACCACACTTTGCAACTTACAAATAACCCCTCCAAAAAAAAACAAAAACAATAATACATTGGTCATTTTCAATCCACGGCTGTCTGCGGGGACGCTGCTGCGCGCAATCGGCCGCCGCATTCGCCCACAAATATATATACAGTCGATTCACTTTACAGTGTGTTCTGTGAAGCGCTTTGGGACGTCCTCCCGACGTGAAAAGCGCTATATCAAATGCAAGGATTATTATTATTATTATTATTTACAGTGTGTTCTGTGAAGCGCTTTGGGACGTCCTCCTGACGTGAAAAGCGCTATATCAAATGCGAGGATTATTATTATTATTACTTCCCCCCCCCCCAGACATATCTGACCATATCATATCATACCATATCAGATCTGTGTGTGTGTCTGTGTCTGTGTGTGTGTGTGTGTGTTTGTGGCTCATCAGTTTAGCTTTGTGTGTGTGTTTGTGTGTATATATATATATATATCTTCAAAGCAAACTTGACCCATGTTAAAAGGAGGTAATTGCATTGTAAAGGCCACCGCCACCTACTGAGCAAATTAGAGAATGGTGTCGCAGAGGGCAATTGGCAAATGATCCCCCTGGAGTGTACCGCAGGGAAAAATTGCCGGGCTCGTTACTTTCTGGGAAAAAGTTGTTGGCCGCAGATCGAAGGGCTGAAATTCCACCCGGTCTCAGGCCGTAAGGCCGCTTTGCCTTCAAGATTTAAGATCTCGCACAGTACTGCGGAAAGTTCTTCAATTTTGACTTAAGTTTGGAAGATTTAGGCTCGTTCTAAGACACAATTGAAGAATTTTCCGCAGTTCTGCGAGATGTTAAATGTTAATGCAAAATGGGCATCTTGACAGGCAAAAACTAGGTGAAATTTTAGGCGTCAAGATAGAATAAGACAGAAAAGGGCCATTATATAATAATAGCAATCCTCGTATTTGTTTTTGTGCCTTATCACGTTTGGAAGGACGTCTCAAAGAGCGTCACATGATTTCCTGTGAAAGTTAGTGGTTGTATTTGTAGGCAAACCCGGCAGCACAATTGTATTACAACAACAACTTGAATTTATGTAGCGCCCTTCATGCGTGGTAGCGTCCTGGAGTGCTTTGACATGTGATTGCTGAATAGAAGTGGTTTATTAGGGAAAATAGGTCGGGGTGGTTGTTGACAGCAGGTGGTTGCTGAATAGAGGTGGGTACTTTAACCAATTTGGCTACATATGTTATGTATAAAATTATATTATATAAAAAAACATATATAAGTAAAAGATGAGAGGAAAGCATTCACAAAGTGAAACAAAACTCAGGAGACTTGTGCTCCGGGAAGAAGTTGGAAGAGAACAATTCCAGTTTAAGGACAAAACTCTATCCTGAGGCCTTTGTTTCAGCACAAAAACCAGAGTGGGAAACGAACCCAAGCGTCTTTAAAGCACACGTTCAAACCAGTACCCAAGAATAAATTGCCGACAGTGCTCTCAATAGCAAGCTATGCCATTCTAGCTGGTTAATTGTTAGTCGCTTGGCTGATCGCTTTTCCACGGCTAATAATTCTTTCCCTCCAAAATAATAATTTGATCACTCAATCCACGAATATTTGTGAGACACTGCTGTCCGCAATTGGCGGCCACGTTTCATCCACAACAAAAATGTACAGTCAATTCACTTTACAGAATGTTCTGTGAAGCGTTTTTGGGGACGTCTTGAAGATGTGATCAGGTGCTATATCAAAAGTAAGGATTATTATTATTACATAGCGCATGTATACTGAATGGCTTCATCCGACATGAATCCTGTCAGGCAGAAATTTAGAATGGAGTTTAAAATGTATGGTTAATGAAAGATTTTATTTGTTTCTGCATACAGTTGTTCGTAAGATCGATATTATGGACTAAATAATATGGCGGCGTCCCGTAGCTCAGTGGTTGGAGCGCTCGCCTCGCAAGCGAGAGACCTGGGTTCGATGCCGGACAGGGCAACACCCGGGGACAAGTTTCCTCACTCCACGCGCCCGATAGTTATCTCTCGAGAAAAAAAAAACCCCAATAATAAATGGGTCGCTTCAAACCACGACCGTTTGTGGAACGCTGCTGTGCGCGATTGGCCCGCCCGGGTTTCACCCGCAAAATACACCGTCGACTTGTACGTAACATCCGGTATATCCTGCGAAGCGCTCGGAGACGTCCGGACGATGCGATGCGAGGCGCCGCCTCAGAGTCCTGTAGCTCAGTGGTTAGAGCACTCGCTTTGCAAGCGAGAGACCTGAGTTCAATTCCAGGCAGAGGGCGAAACCTCGGGCAAGTTTCCTTACTCTACACAGAGCCTAATAATAATCCCTCCAAAACAAAACAATAATAAATTGGTCATTTTCAATCTACGACTGTTTGTGGGACATTGCTGTGCGCAATCGGCTGCCGCGTTCGCCCACAAATATACAGTCAATTCACTTGACAGTGTGTTCTGTGAAGCGCTTTGGGACGTCCTCCCGACGTGAAAAGCGCTATATCAAACGCGAGGATTATTATTGATGCCAGGATTACGCTGCGTCATTACTGTGAAGCTCCAGTGGTTAGTTGCAGCTCACGGGACGGGACCCTCCGGGACGGGAACTGCCCACTCCACCGGGATCAGCGCTCTGCCGAGTCACGTGACGCGCGGCGCCCCCTTTAATACCAAGGCGGGACTGTACCATTGTAATCGCGGGGACCGCTCCAGGGACCAGTCCGCCCCGGCGGGTGCTCTCGAGTCGGATGGTGGAGTCCCAAACGGGTCACGTGAGAGCGGGTGGCGCGAAAGTTGAGCGCGAGAAGTCCGCGGCGCGGAGGCCGAGAAACCCCGTGAGACGCAGCGAGACCCCCCCCACCCCCCCCCCCGGGACCAGGCCCCGCGGACCGAGACCGGAGACCCCGGGCTGAGAGACTGAGGTAGGCCCCGGGCCGGTGAGTCCCGGGAGAGACGCCCTGTGGTCCCGGTAAACAACTGCCACAACAACAACACCCGCGGCGGCGCCTCTCAGAGGCCGAGTATTATTCTTGACTCAGTCACAGCGGCCGCTTTACCTCTCGGCCGACGCCATGGCTCAGGTCCGGCTCACGGACTACTACAGTCAGACCAAGAGGGCCAAGCCCGGGCCGCTGGGGGCCAAGCGCAGGAAGGTGGGCGTTGGGCCCGGACAGCCGCCGGAGAAGCCGGTGAGCGTCCCTCGTAGCCCGGCCCCGAGCTCCCACCGTGACCCCCCGACACCGGCCCGGGAGCCGGCCACGGCGGGCGGCGAGGGCGAGGGCGAGTCCGAGGTCGGCCTGGGCTGTCAGCCGGACCCGCTCGGGGGTCTCCGGACGCCGCGGGGAGTCGGAGGTGCCCGGGGCGAGTTCGATCTGGGCTCGGCCGTCTTCGGGCCCGGCGCTCGGTCCAGCACCGGCAAGAAACGTTCCCGGTCCGAGTCACTGGAGGAGCCGGAGCCGGAGGCCGGGGTCGGGCAGACTCCCGCCCCCAGACCCCGACCCGGCGGCGGCGGCGGCGAGAGGAGATCGTCAGCTCGCAAGAGACTCGTCTTGCAGCCCCAGGACGACGGGCAGCCCTCGGACCGGGTCGGACCGGGAGAGACCGAAGAGCTCGGGTCTCCCGTGGGACCGGAATCCACGGTGAGACGGGGGGGGGGGGGACCGATCAGTCCAGAATTAGTGGAGTCCTGTGGCTCAGTGGTTAGAGCACTCGCTTTGCAAGTGAGAGACCTGAGTTCAATTCCAGGCAGAGGGCGAAACCTTGGGCAAGTTTCCTTACTCCACACAGAGCCTAATAATAATCCCTCCAAAACCAAAAACAATAATAAATTGGTCATTTTCAATCTACGACTGTTTGCGGGACATTGCTGTGCGCAATTGGCTGCCGCGTTCGCCCACAAATATACAGTCAATTCACTTTACAGTGTGTTCTGTGAAGCGCTTTGGGACGTCCTCTCCCGACGTGAAAAGCGCTATATCAAATGCAAGGATTACGATTTTTTTTTTTTTTTAGTTGTTATACGTTTCTACTTAATTATTTATTTTGCAGGTAACTGGTATCCCTGTGGGTGTGGGGAGGGGGTGGGGGGAGCGCTTTGCTCAAGTCCTGCTGTGCTGTGTGTTGGTGTCCTTATAATACTTATAATACTGGATGTTTTAAGATTGGGGACATCTTTGTAAATCTGCTGTGGATGGGTATGAAGTTTCCAATTTTCTTTTTTTTTTTGCATTCACCTCATTCATTTAGACCTGTAGACAGTGCACCTGTGAATCCTTGATGTTTATTTCGCGCACTTTGCTGGATCTAACCCGATTTTCACCTTTCCTGTGTTTAGATTGTAATAATAATAATAATATTCCTTGCATTTGATATAGCGCTTTTCACGTCGAGAAGACCTCCCAAAGCGCTTCACAGAATACACGGTAAAGTGAATGGACTGTATATTTGTGGGCGAACGCGGCAGCCAATTGCGCACAGCAATGTCCCACAAACAGTCGTGGATTGAAGATGACCAATTTATTATTGTTTTTGGTTTTGGAGGGATTATTATTAGGCTCTGTGTGGAGTAAGGAAACTTGCCCAAGGTTTCGCCCTCTGCCTGGAATTGAACTCAGGTTGCAAAGCGAGTGCTCTAACCACTGAGCTACATGACTCCACAATTGTAATACTGTATTACACAGTGCACCTAATGATTTCAGGTTCTACTTTGTAACTAATTAAATAACATTCACTGTTTCGGAACTATGTATTTTGAAAATGCCAAAAGGATTTTGTAAATGTAGTTCTCTTGCTACCCAGAAAACTGCAGAACCTGTGACTCTATCGTCCATCAATAAAGGGACAAAGAATGTGGTGAACCAGAGATTGTTGCCCAAAGAGAGAAGTGAAGAGATTGGTCGTGTTCAGGAATCATCAGAAGGAAAGGTATGACATTTTTTTTATCTACAAGATAGAATGCTAATGTCTTAACAACACATTGGATCCACAATAGCACAGAAACCTGATAATTTTGCATACTTGCCCTTTAGAAAACTGATACTTGGGTAGGTGGGAGAAAACTACGCTAAGTTCTCCAATGATAGGCTAATCCGATAAATGAAGTGTATCAAATATTATAAGTTAGTGACAGGCAATTTTTTGTGAATATCAATGCTTTTGTACTATTCTGCTGAACAGGAATGAGTGTGCAAACTTATGCAATATTGTACACTTTTAGGTTGCCACACCTGGAAATGAAAGCCTATTGAAGTTAAAGGCTCGGCTTCAGCAACTCCAGAAACGTACCCAAACTATCAATTCATCTGCTACTTCATCAGAGCTAAGCGCTACTGTCAAGAGCCGCCTGAACCAGGTTCGGAAACTGGGACTAAAAGTCCAAGGAAGGAAAGTGGAGCAGGAATCGGCAACTCAAGAAGAGGCAGAACCAAGTACAGATGAGAGGTAAGGAACTGAAAAACAGTTTGTTTCAAACCTTACCAATTGCCATTTTAATGGACAAAATGTAAATAAATGCTGTTGGTCATATTAACATCTCCCAAGATGTATGCATTCTAGGATTTATCTTGCTAATAGTCAGATAAATACAGGTAAAAAGAGTTTTAGGGTCAGATAAAGGGTGTGATCGTATACAGCAAACCTATGCACTTGGTGCTGAGTGTACCAGCTGAGTTTTATCTGGGCTTGGTCATATTTGAGTTGGGCACCCCAGTTGGGACAGGGGTTAGATCCATCACATGCAAGAGTGATAGAATGGGGGTTTCCACGCACAATTGCACTGAAGTGATTTTAGCTGTGCTAGTTCGTCTTGTATGTTATGTTGGGAAATGGTGAGAATCTATGTGATTTAGACCAAATGTCTAATTACTTAGTGTCAATTAGTTCTGTACATATACCAAGGACAGAAGAAGCTCTTCTATAAGTATTGTAGTATGAAGACAATCAATTGAGTGAATCTTTTAAACTTAAGAATGTAACAATTACATTTTTTAAAATGAGGGCAGTTTCTTTCAACCATATTTTATTCTTTGCAGAGTGAAGACACCAGCATACCAACGCTTTCATAATCTAGCCCAGGATATTCCACCAGGGTTGAGTATACCTTTCAAGTACAAGCTACTAGCAGAGATGTTCCGCAATATGGAAACTATTGTGAGCATGCTGTTCAACCGATCTGAAACAATTACGTTTGCCAAGGTGAAACAAGGTGTCACAGATATGATGCGGAGGTAAGTACTTATATTGTTCCATTGATGTATGATTAAAGATTAGCGTAGATAGGAAAGCAGTACGCCCCCAACCAGAGCTAGTATTTTGTAGTTGTTGCACTCTCAGATTCTCTCAGGACCTCTACAATTTAAATTGCATTTGATTCAGATCTAGACTATTATTACATTGTCTCTGCCTCTTCTTTCCTGACCCTTCTCCCTGTGTCATTAACTTCAGTTTCATAACTGATGTCTGAAAAACAGTAATATGCCTCAGTCCAGTATTTTCCTTCCAAGCTGTAAGACGACAAGCAGTACATGTAGAGAGATTGGCTAAAAACAAACTTGAGACTTGGCGATCTCACGAAGCTGGAATACAGTACTTCATGCAATTAATTTTGCCAATTTTAGTAATCCTTGCAATTTATATACCTCCTTTCATGTCAAAAATATGTCTCAAAATGCATCATGGGATTTAATGTAAAGAGAAGTGCCTATGTTTTGTAGATTAAATGAGTATTTTCCAACTTCTCAAGTTGTATTTAGCCAGCTTGTATTACTGTACAACTGAACCCAATTGATTTGCTTTTAGACTTTGTAAGCATTCTAACTTTCTTCTGTAGGAAGTTCGAGGAACGAAATGTTGGGCAGATAAAGACCGTTTACCCTGCTGCATACAGATTCAGGCAGGAAAAGGACATCCCAACGTGGACTAACTCTGTCAAAAAATACCAACTCACTATTGATCCTGTGGTGGAAGGAGGTAAGTGCTAAGCTCACAGGTTTAGATATATAGAATTAATGTTTTTTTGATTCTGTCCATTAGGAAGGTCAAGGCTCTGTTGTGGTGCTGCCACAGTTGACTAGCCTCATTGATGCTCAGTGTCTTGGCAGAATTAATTTGTTAATTTACCATAAAATGTATTCAAGAATCATTGATTAGTTTTAATATTATTATTATTGATTAATTTTCCCCCCTTTGCTTCCTGTACTCTGTTTCACTGCTCCTTTGAAGTAAATGCTGATGGTCGTCCACATTTGAAGGCTTCTCGACTACTTCAGCGTCGTCGCGTCTTTGGTCGAAACCTTCTAAACATTGTTAAGCAGCACCATAAAGTAAGTAAAAGTAATTTCAGGTGGGCCTAAGTGATACCATTACTTTGCTTGTACCCCATATTTCAATTGTATTAATCATTCTGTGAAGTGAATATGCTGAAGGAGTCTCCTTAATGTTTTTCTGCAACAAAGTAGTTTAAGAACAATATTTTCAACTGCAACCACAAGAAGTTTGTCATTATTGAATCCTGAGTAATCTTAAGTGGGTCATACCAATCTTGTTCTGCTCCCACATGCCCATGAAGATGCCCTTTTCAAAGACGCTTAAACTTCTTTACCCATAAGTCCAATTCTGATAGTCCTTGCAGTTGTCTTCCTGTTTGACATGCAACAATGCATATCAGTTCAATACTATTGTATTGAAAGTGCTCTGACAATTTTGCATACATCTGAATTTCATTTCCTTACAAGACAGCTTAACGCTTAGCATTCGAAGATTCCTGGGAACCATTGATCCACCTTGGCTTGTTTAAATAGTAGATAGGATGGGGTCCTAAAGAAAGCGGATATAAATTTTAAATGAGCACTTGAGCAAATGTAGAAGTGTTGGTTTGCACAACATAATCTTTGAAGGATTTTGTGTAAGCAAAAAAAACCTAAAGGAATTTAAAACGTGAAATATTAATTCCTTCTGTTTCATGTAGGCATTCCTGGATTCTCTAAACCCTCCAATGCACGTACCTGATGATAAGCTAACACGGTGGCACCCTCGGTTCAACGTGGATGAAATTCCAGACATTCCTGCTGCAGAGCTGCCTCAGCCTCCAAATGAAGAAAAACTAACAACTGCTCAAGAAGTACTGGATAAAGCTCGCAGTATAATGACACCAAAGGTATTGGTGACAGTACTTCACTAAGGGGGTAGTGTGTTAAATATTTTAGTGTGGACTTCCAGTCTCTAATGATTAATGTCCAGCATCATAGTTCAAGCTCAGTTGTGTGTGTGTGTATATGTGTATCTATATATTTTTATATATATATATATATATATAATCAGCCGGGTGTTTGATGCATACAGAAACCTATCACTGTGCTTAAGAGTGTGCAAACCAAACCGACTTCCATGCATCCCACCTATACATGGAAATTCCAGATTTTGTTGGAATGGAATATGCACTGTCTTCCTGGGGGGATATATCCTGCTTAGCTGATTCCGGGAAGTATAGGTGCAGGTTGGCAAGAGGCAAGACTTGGGGACCCCAGAGTGTGTGTTGCAGTACTGTTGGAGTCTGACCAACTAAAACTGTACAGCTTGCCATTGATATCGCTGTCTGGCAAGCTTTCCTGATGCTTGTCCAGCTAGGACTTTAGCTTGCAGGGGTAATAGGAACTGAATGGGATGATTCCTTGCTATTAGTGACTGGTCTGCCCTTCCAAGTCCTTCTGATTAGTTTCGTTATATCTGTATTGTACTTCACAAGTTATTATTACGCAGAATTTTCCATTTGTAATACTTGCTTGTATTTTCAGATGGAGAAAGCACTTGCCAACATGGCTCTGAAAACTGTAGAAACTGCTGCTGTTGAACAGAAACAGATGCCAGATAGGAAACCAAATCCTAGTCCCTCAACTGCATTGAAAGGAATTTCCCAAAGTCTGCTGGATAGGGTAAGGTAGCAGTGAAATTGCTAAGTAGAAATTTTAAGGTTGAGAGAAAGGAACTTATCAACCTAATTTAATCTTTCCGATAGCAAAAAACAAAAAGGCCATTTGCACCAATTGTCACAAATCTACAGGCTTATTTTGAATTGTTTGTAGTAATTTATGCCATCAACCACTCTAGCATCCAGAAAGTACCTAATACTATAAAAAGTTGTAGGTTCCAGCATTAAAAAAATCTTTAGTGTCAGCTGAGCAATGAGTTATTAGAACATTTTTTTTTGGTGTTATACATTGTAGGCAATAAAGATGATTATTTTCCACATACAAATATTGTACTCATTCAATAGGGAAAATATAGTCCTCTTCAGTCTTGCCATGGTCTTATCCTGGTCAGATAATTTTCTTGACTTGTTGAATATAAGGTCTCATTTATTTTTTCAATGTTAGGAACGCCCTGATTTTCATACATGCAAGGTGAAATGGCGTAGGATTGCTTTTTGAACGTGGCTAGTGTTTCTTTAACATAACTTACCAGTGATAGTTCATATATTAGAAAGACTGACTCACTATTCATACAATTAACATTGTGGATTGTTATTCACTAATATGAAATTCATGTTTATTACTTAAAAAGATTCGTGCTAAAGAAGCTCAGAAGATTCAGGCAGTAATGACACGAAATCCTACACAAATTGAGCGTCTCCAAATGATGTCACACCTTCCTGAGATTGCAAGGATTTTACGCAATATCTTTGTGGCTGAGAAAAAACCAGCTTTGATTTTTGTATTCGTATGCAACAGGGTGGTGGATAGTTATCGATCAATGATTAATGTTGGTAAGTGTTAAGCTAAAAACATAATTTTGTTAAAATATGCAAAAAAATTGCAATATTGGGGCATTGATATTAAAATGAGCATTTCCATTTTCGGGAATCAACACTAGAATTGTAGTCCTTCGGTCGTCTAATCACAATTTTGAAACTTTTACAACAATCTTCTGCTGAAATTCCTTTTTTCTAGTGAGCACTGATGTATTTTGCTGTTTAGATTGTTTTTAAATTGCTACCCATCAGTTTTCCTCTCCCTGCCTTCGGTTACCTGCCCCCCTCCCGCCAAACCACGCCTTGGTTAAGTTTTTCCGTGACCCTACCCGTTTGAAGGGTGCTGCATAAATGCAAGTTGATGTTTCATTGTCAGTAGTTTGACTTTTCTATGTATTACATTGGTTTGAAATGCTCTTTTTAATCTCTTTTTAGAGGATATAGGAAAACACTTGCGGTTGTTGGCTGAGGTTGTTCCTGATTGGTTAAGCATCCACCAAATTCGAAAAGAGGAGTATCTGAAGCTGAACAAGAACGTGGAACTAAATGTGATTTCGGAGAAAATTGCAAATAAAATAAAAGTGGAGGAAAATAAGTAAATATCTTAAATGCCATTGTTTTAGATGGATGTAAATGTAAGTTCTGAAGCTTTTAACTTGTAAAAATGATGTACAGTATGTTGATCTGGAAGAGAGAAGAATTTGCTCAGTATGATGTGTCCTGGATTACCTCACTTGTACCAATTCGTTGGAAATGACTGATTAGAATTCTTTGTACTCTATCTGGAAAGCATCAGAATTTTGGGATTTAGAGTCAATGGGTTTATCTTGATTTTAAAAGAAAATTAGACTCTGGATATGTAGGGTAACGTATGTTGCACTCTCAAGACCAGTTTCTTTCTGCATTTTAAATGAAGAGTATAGACATTCTGGCCTGTGCCTGCAGGGTTCAATTTTTATTTGCTTCAAGAAAAAGATGAGATGACTGTTTGATTGGTTAATGTTTTTTAAAGGAACAAATTTTGATTAAATGTTTCACTTTTCAAAGAAACTTTGTGGTATTTACCTCAATTCAGCAAACTAGTAGTTTAGAACTAGTATACTTAGAAAATTACAGTGAATTTATCAACATTGCTACTAAAGTCAGCATTCTTCCTTATTTGTTCATCCTTTGTGTGTAAATAAATAACCATTATCTCCAGTCTATGCAGCATATATCTATTCCAGAATCACCTTGTTGAATGGCACATGTTAATTAGAAAATTGCATTTTGATTACTCTTAAGATCAATTATATTCATAGTGGGTTAATTGATTCCATTACTAGTTTGAGTGGTAGGACAAGAGATTCAATTTAGCAGTTTTAAAATGGAAAGTCTTCTCTCCCCAGAGGAAAAATGTTAAATGAAGAAATTGGTGTGTGAATAATGGAACAGTATTAAATTACCCAATTTTAAGTTCTTCCACACTACCCCCTGGTGGACAAGACAGGCAGGTGACCTACTTCATTATTTCTGCCACTAATGTTCTGAAACCAACTGAGAAGTTCAACGCAAAAAGCTGACTCATCATTGCCTCTATCATGGTGCATTCCCACTGGCAGTTTTGTCTGGTAATATCTTAAGTCAAGTGAAGTAATATTTATTTCCTCCCAAAAGCTACAATTGATGTACTATGACGATGCCCATGGATTCCCAATGCTTGTATACCAGTATAGGATTTTAATTTAGTTCAGGTAACTTAATATCCAATGTAGCTTCCCATTTGATGTCAACTACATTTGTCCTGAATACTCAATTGACAAATCTTTTAAATACTATGCGTATCAAACAAAACTGACCTTTCATTGATTAATTGCAGGTTTCATACATGCCTATTAAAACTCATTTTAGAATCCTAAGGTAGAAATGTGAACAAATACTATTCATACAGTGATTAGATCATTAAGAGCAAATTCCCATCTCAATAATAACAAAAACTATAATGTGGTTCATTACAGTTAGAGGAGTCTTTAATGGATTAGGTTACATTTGCTTGAATTTAATCACCAATATTTTGAATGCTTAGAAAATAGAACCTTAAGATTCAAAATTTAAAAATGTCCCAGGAACAATGAAAAAATACCCATATTAATACAGTATTCAAGTAAAAATATTTCAACAATCTACTTTACATTTGTGTAAGATTCAATATTTTGGTAATGAAACAAATATATTGGCAGTATTGTGTATTGTAAATGCATTGTGGATACAGCAACAATGCATTTACAAGGAAACGAGAAAAAGGACACTTGGTAAGTATCTGTAAAGGTCATCGTTAAGAGACTTGGTAACTGAAGGATATTGCTATTAAGAGTGATGCTTTGAATTCTCTTGCTGCTTGAAATTATTGATACCTCAGATACAACTCTCCTTACAACAAATTCTGAGTGGTCTTTGACCGAAAAGAGTAATTAGTATGTTTTAAATGAAGCAATGTAAAGTACCACAACAGTCTTGATAACATGTTTTACTTAATACTGCAAAATTGAGTAACAAGGCACACATCCCAACTTCTGTAAACCATTCAGAGCCTTCAATTCAATTACCACCAAACATTCACGAGTCTCAGCATTCACTTTCTTCAACAGTTCACAAGCAGCGCTCAGAGTACCTACACCAAAGATAAAAGGATTTGAATATAAATTTATTTTTAAATAAAATTACAAGTAAAATTCAATCATTGGCTTTTTTTAAAAAAATTGCATTTCCAAACATGTCATTTGTAACGTACTACAACGTTTACAAAAGAAATTGCGGATAAGGCAAAGTGGGCACGGTCTATTCTAAAAGAATTACTACCAGTTGTTGGTAACTACTATCTACTGTATGCAGAAAAAATAATTTTGCATTCATTAGCTCCATGAGAAGGGGTTAATGAAGCTTATGCATTCAAGGGGAGTCAGCCAAAGTTACAACCAGCATAAACCCCCTAAATTACACCTATAAATGCAAAACTGGTTACACAATTACATTTTAAAAACATTTCATTGAAAGTTCTAAGGTAGATCAATAGACTTACAAGAGAGCAAGCTCAGCGCTATCTGTATGTGCCATGACGATACCGTGCGATTGCAATTACATTGCTCCTAAAATAATTTCTTCCAGAAAGTATCAGATAATACTTTCTAATATTTTAAAAAACATTGTATAGTGTTCCTGTGAAAATACTATTTATAGGATTAATAGAACATTGTACCTCCAGTTGCAAGTAGATCATCGATGACAACAACTTTTTGCCCTGATTCCACAGCACCACATTGTATCTCAAGTTCTCCCTACAAAATGGAGAGAAAATAAAATCTGTGGATCATGGTAGCATGTTGACATCTGTTTCAGTATATTAACAAGTTGCATCATTTCATTATTTTAGAATTATTCATCGGTTCTTTGGGGCGTCGTCCTGAAGTGAAAGGTGCTATACAAATGTAATTTTGTATTGTATTAAATATTACCTTTGCATATTCAGAACTAAATTCAACAGATATAATTGGTCCTGGTAACTTTCCTTTCTTTCGAATTGGCACAAACCCGATTCCAAGTCTTTGTGCTACGACAGGGCCAAATAGAAATCCACGGGCATCCAGCCCTATAGAAAATGCAAAAAAGGAATGTGACCACATGGCGTTAACATTGTAATACAGTATATACAATTATGTTCCAAATAATCCACTGCAATTCAACTATCTGCAATCTTGCAAAGAAGATGTTAAATATAATCCTTGAGTGATAAGGATAAATCTATTCACAATATTAATACAAGTCCATTATCTTGCAGAACTTTGCCCGTTAGCTATTCTCACCCAATTCCAGTTATACAAAACTATAACATTTGAACTTATGCCTTCATTCTGAAGGGCAACATTGCAAATTAAAGCAACTATGAAGATAACAGTAAGATGGAAAAGTCAGTGGAAAAAATTGCCAAGTCAGGTTCTCTCAGTTCACATATAAAGAATGGCTATTTGAGCAAAACACCTGGAGGAGACCACTATCTTCAGAATTTCTTTCACACTAAATTTAGAAAAGCAAGTAGAGGAAGAAAAGTGTTCAATTGAATTAATATAGCAGACTTACCTACAACCAAGTCAGGGAGAGGACAATTCTCTTTCAGATGCTCTTCAAACAAGTCAATGGTTGCCCTGAAGGCATTTGGGTCTTTCAGAATAGGACAGATGTCTCTGAAATATACAGAAATAAGCCAGGAGTAATGAAATACGAGAGGCTCAAAAGCCGGACAGACACCGACATGGGGGAGCGGGGGTTGAAGAGGGGAAGGTAGATTGGATTTATGGCAGTTTTTGAAGATAGAGGGCTAAACAAGAGGTCCCGGAGATGGGGGAAAGGTGGCTTCAAGGTTCAGCTGCCAGTGCTGGGGTGGAGGATGTGCAGAAGCATGAGTTTTCCGAGCAGAGGAGGTAAACATAAGAGGGAGGATGGAGAATATTTTGGGTAGGGAGGTGCTGGGGAATGAAGAGATTTGTAGGCAAAAGTAAAGATCTTGAAATCGATCGGATGTGAGACAGGGAGCTAGTGAAGCCTGGAGAGCATGGTAAAAAATTGTATCTGGTAAGAATATGGGCGGTAGAGTTTTGAATGAGCTGGAACTTGTAGAACTGAGGAGGCTGGTGAGGAGGTGGAGTCTGGAGGTAATATAATACAAAATTACATTTGTAAAGTGCCTTTCACTCAGGAGGACATCCCAAGGTGTAATATAGGTTGGAATGACGGTTTCAGCAGCAATGACATGGAACAGGGATGAAGCCAGATGACATGGTAAAGATGCATGAAGCAGTCTTGGTCAGGGTCTGGAACAAGAGAGGAAAGAAAGCGGAGGATTGAATCGAACATTGTGATTGCAGAATTGTTCAATGAGTTTGAATGAGAGGCCGGGAAGATTGACAACAGTAACAAGATTACATTTATACGGCGCCTTTCACGTCGGGAGGACGTCCCAAGGCGCTGACGAAGTAGAGGCAGAAAGAAAGTGACAGTAGCAGGAACTTCATTCTTCATTCTTGTCCACGTTTAATTGATATGACTATTAAAGCTTTCCCAAAGTGAACAAAAAGAATTTGGCTTCAGACTTCTGGAGCCCACAAGGCACACTTTTCGGAGAAGAAAACAGCCTCCAAACTGACAGACCGCCGCACCGCTCGGGAGGAAGGGTTGGGATTCGTGTGTACATCTCATTATATTCTTCTATTCCACCGCTCAGCTCCTTTGCCTTTACTGTACCGGGTGAAAGCACGAATTACGCTACCAGACTAATGGTAGAAATCAAGAGCAAGTCGGAGTTTTCGTTAGAAGACGAGAGGTTTTAAGAGTGTGGGTTGCGCAATCCACATCACGAAAGCAGACAACAGCAGCAGCAGCAGCAGCAACTTGCATTTATTTGCATTGGCTCTGGAACTCCATCCCCCAGTGCCTTCGCCTTCGCTTCCTCCCTTTCCTCCTTCAAGGCCGGTCTCAAGACCTTTCTCTTCGACCGTGCCTTCAGCTCCCCTCTCGACTCTCTACCCCCTCCTCGCTCCCTCCCTTCCCTCCCCTCCCCTCCCCCTTGACCATCCCCCCCCCCCAATGCTCGGGTCCCGACCCAACTGCCCAGCGCCTCGGGACGTCCTCCCGACGTGAAAGGCGACTCTATAAAATGCAATCTTGTTGTTGTTGTGGTTGTTGTTGTGCAGTATAGCGACCTTCGGGGGGGGGGGGGTCTGGAGGGGGATTGGAGACGGGACACGTTCCGTTAGGTTGAGGGTCATTTCTGTCAGGAGGACACTTCTGTCCTGAACCTTCCACGTTTCCGTGACCAGTCGGGAGGTCACGCGGTCGTGCAGTTCCAGTCGCTCAGCCATCGAGAGGACTTTATCTGTGCGCGAGACTCGGGCTGTCGGGAACCGTGGCTGTCAGTTCAATTCCGACCGCCGCGGCTCCGGGGCACACGTGCGGACGCCAAATAAAATAAAACAAAATAAAAATAATAAAAAAAAGAAGGCGGGGGGTGGGGGGGGTGGGGGGTGAGGGGGAGCGGCCCCACGAACGGCTGTGAGTGAAAACCCGCGCCTCGTGAACAAAGCTCTCTTCCAGAACATTCTGTCCGGGGCCTTCGGCTCTCATCGATCTGCGCCTCTTCTTCCCGCCCTCCTCTCCCCCCACGTTCCCTTCGGTCACCAGGAGGAGAAATGACAATAGCAGAACTCACTGAAAAGTGACCCCCGGTTTGGGGAAGTCCGGGTAAGTTCTCATCTTGCAGCGCAGTAACTGGACCTTCTCCTCTCTGCTCGCCATTGCCCGCCCTCGAGGATGGAGACCGGCGTCACGCCCTATCGCGTCCGCACTGCGCCCCCCGCCGGCCCTGCGCATGCGCCAAGTCCCAACCTGTGCCCCACCGCCTCTGGTTCTCGTTCCTCCGCAGCTGTAATATGTCCCTTCCCTTCCCCCTCCCCCCCCCACACCCAAACACACCCCACCCACACACCCCCCCCCCCACACACCCCACCCCACACACACACCCCACCCCACACCCACCCCCACACCCCCCCCACACCCACACACACCCACACACACCCCACCCCCCCCACCCACACACCCCACCCCACACACACACCCCCACACACCCACAGCCCACCACCCACACACACCCCACCCCACACACCCACACACACTCACACACACCCCACCCCACCCCCCCCCCACCCACCCCCCCACACACCCCCACACACCTCCCCCCACACCCCCCACACCCCACACCCCACACGCACCCCCACACACCCCCTCACACATCCCCCTCCACCCCCACACCCCCACACCCCCCACTCTCTCTCACGCTCCAATGAAAGGGTTGACTTTTTTTTGCTGAGGTCTTCTTTTTCTGTCTACGGAGACCCACCAGCCCCCCCCCCCCCCCCCCCCACACACACACACACAGCTGAGATCAGATAACCCCCACACAGCGTGTGACTCGAAGCTGTAACGTTTGATCTGCGTGAATTGATGGCCACACCGTTGATTACCGAAAGAAATGTCAGTTTTAGGAGATGGGACTCGTTTTATTTTCCAGGACATTTGACTCGAAACATGAGCTTTTGTCAGGTTCGTGTGTATTGTTAATGTGACAGATCAGTCACTCAGAGCAATGACTCACGACGAACAGCCACGAAACGGATGAGGAGAACGAATGACTCAAAAGGGGCGAGAGCGCTGCCAACCGAGTCAGGTGAACACACACATTGGATTGGAAACTCGAGACTGTTTTGGCGAAGTCTTTGTCTGGAATATGTTCAGTTAGAATCGAGTGTTTACTACCGGGTTCGACGCTGTCAGAACGATTGGTTGTGTTTAGATATATATATATAGATATAAATATTATATACTGCTGTTCGATGACGTTCTGTGAGGAATCATCTCCCCGTCATGCACAGAGTTAGTACAGAAAATGGTGCACTGTTACCCCCAATTCTGACTGCAGTGCTGCCACAGGGAAATGGTGACCTCGACTGGTTGAAGGGAAGTGCCGAGTTAGCTTCTCACGCAAGGACGAGGGGTTGGTTGGATGAATGGATGAATGGATGGTTAGATGGTTGGATGAATGGATGGTTAGATGGTTGGATGGATGGTTAGATGGTTGGGTGGATGGTTAGATGGATGGATGGATGGTTGGGTGGATGGTTAGATGGATGGATGGATGGTTGGATGGATGGATGGATGGATGGATGGTTGGTTGGATGGATGGATGGATGGATGGATGGATGCGTTGCTGAAAGGGCGGACGCCGAGCATAAGTTTTGACTTTGGGATGAATGCCAATGGACCTGCACTGGCGGAACAGCGGCCGGGCGAGGGGGAGGCACTTGGGGTTTCTTTGGACCGCTTCGGGGAGCAGCGGATGCCCCCCCCAACCCCGGGGTCCGCAGGGCCGCAAGTGGGGGGAGGAGGAGAGGGTTGCACCGCACCGCACCGCACCGATGGGGAAGGGCGCAGCTCCGGGATGCAGGACGGTTGCTAAGCGATCACGTCACTAGGAGACGGGTTGGGTCACGTGGGCCGCGCCATCTTGCGGGCTGCCGGAGGCGGGGAGTCCATCGCGGGGCCCGGGCCAACCGTTCACTCCCGACCCGAGAGCAGAGTGTGAGTATCCCCCCCCTCCACGAAGAGGGGGGAGTGGTGGGAGGTGGGGGGGTAGTCCAGGGTCCCGCCGACAAGGGACCGGACTGGGTTTCAGCCACAGGACACGGCTCCCGAGCGAACACGGACTGGCGGTGGGAGTCGGCCCCAGGATGGGGGGGGGGCCTTCAGGAAAGAGGGGCCGCCACCACCGCCACTTCCATTAGGAAAAGGGTTCGGGTTTCTGCCCTTCGCCCTCTCACTTGGGTCCTGGAGGAGGAGGAGGAACTGGGAGGAGAAATCACTTATACTTTATAAGAATGAATAGATTTATTTTTGCTCCATGACATACCGGGGCAGTGCAACGGACATGGGAGGGTTGGCAGGACCAGAGAAGGTGAGGCCTGGGGGGGGTGGGGTGGGGGGGGGGGGGAGTGGTGATGGGGGGGGAGAGAAGATTGAGGAAATCGAACAACATGGACTAAAGCAAAAGGCACTGCACAGATTAAACAATGCATTGGGCAGATGGCTTGGGAATGGCGTGCGAGTGAGGGAGGGAGTGAGGGAGGGAGGGAGGGAGTGAGGGAGGGAGGGAAAGAGAGCAGAGATCCAGACTGGCAGATGGTGGTGATGGGGGGTGGGGGGGGGAAGGTGAAGAATAGAGCAAGATGTGGACCGGGGGTAAAATGCGGGCCGCAAGGCAGGGATTTCAGACATCGTTTTCATAGGGCTTGAGTGTTTTTTTTTAAGGGGGGGGAAAAAAAAGAAAATAATTGCTTTAAGAATAAATGAAGTAGAACTATCGCCATCTGGTAAATGCTCGGAATTGGATCTATGCATTTCGCCCACAAAATATACAGTCAATTTACTTTACAGTTCATTCTGTGAAGCGCTTTGAGACGGCTCGGAGGCGTGATAAGGTGCTATATTCAACTGCAAGGATTATTTATTATTATAATGCGAAAGCAAGGGGGGCTGACTGTAGCTCTATTTTAGGCACATGAAGTTGTGAGATCTATTGCATTGGGTTATATTTGTAAACAGAATCGATCCCGATCCAAATGATTGAGCCTTGACAGCTCTTGTATAACTTCAATGTTATTTTTCTTCAATTGATGCTTTTCTAAATTAAGTTTTCTGCATATCCCAGCTCTATTCTGTGTATGTACATTCAAAAAGTATAAGCTAGATTCTGTTGCGCTGCAGTCCTTTCCTGGTAAATGGAGACCAGAGATATTGACAGATGGGTAGAGAGGACAAGCAAGGTAGATAAGGAGTGAGAGACAGATGGAAAAAGAATAGGAGAAAAATGAAAGCTTATATAGTGTGAATGGGAAATAAATTGTACAGAACATATTGAGAAAGGGTGTTTAGGAATGTAGGAATATACAGGAGCAGGAGTTATTTTTATTTTTAAAAAAACTAAATAATCCTACTTGTATTGTATTCTACAATTTTGTTTGGTTAAAAGCTGGATTGTGGTTGTCTATTCCATATACAGTATTTGCTTCTCTGTAACTCTGAACTGTCTGTTCACTGCTTCTTTTGAGTTTGAGATTGTGTCTCCTTGTTTTACATTTCAATAATATAAACCCATTAAAGTTATTTTAATAAGAATACTTATAATTCAATTTACGTCTTCTATTTAAGGAATATTAATGCATTTTATTTCCTTGGTGTTTTCTCAAATAGATGTGCTTTGCGTCAGACTATATAAATTAGTATTATAGGTCTATAAAGCATATTTTTGTCAATATATTTCTGATTATACCTGATTCTAGCTTCATAATGTGGTTAAAACACACTCTTCCTGTTGTATGATGCAGAGCTGTGAAAACTTGGCAGTCATTTGGTGACAGTAATGGGAGGAAGATGGGGATTCTTGTAATGCTCCCCAGTGAAAAGCTCAGAAAAGGTAAAACAAAAGAGTATAGTATAGAAAAGAAATAGTATCTCAGAGAATGTTTTAGGTTGAAATTCAATGCTTGGTTTGTACAGTAAATTGCTTTTATATTGATTTTTCTGCCCCTTAGTTTTTTTGTGTAACATTGAGAGAAAACATACATCTAATAGAAGATAAGGTATTGTGATAGATCAATTTGAGAGGAGTCTTGAGTTGAAAAGTACTCTTGCCTCTAAGTGTTGCTTGTGTGTTCTATCTTCAAATATTAGCAACTCAGTTGTCACTACTAAATCTGGTATTGACAACGGGTATGATGCTTCCAGACCAAAAAGTATAATTTATTGTAATTTAGGTGGAACAATGAATTATCAAATACAACAAACCTCTGACAACTCGTTGCTACCACTCTTAATATCCTGACAGCATTATTTTATGTATTTATACATATGCCTAACTTATAACTCCGAATAACTCGTCACCAAGCCCTTTCCACTTGGGAGTGATAAGTTATCAGGAATTTACTGTGTTTCACTCTAAAAGTCAAGTAGAGTGATAGTGCAATATTTTTCTGCATTAGTATTTGATATTAAGCTTTAAAAAGCAGTTTATGATTATATCTTAAGTAATTTAAAAGTGCTGTATCCCGATATGAAGAAATGAATAACACGATTCTATCACTGATGTGGCCTTTTAACTCCGTGAAATAGAAGTATTCTGTGGCTGCTCAGAAAGGTTTTTTTTTAATCAAGGAGCTAGTGAAAATTCTGCAATTGAACTCTGTAAATTATTTCTCTTCTTCCCCTTGAACAAGGGCAACGGGACAAGCAGTTGACTAATTCCTAGCAATGATGCTGTCTAACTAGTTGCCATTTGTATGATCTCACTGGGCTGTCAGGAAAAGGATCAAGGAGAGTGAAAAATCAAAGGGCAAAATTTTGGTGGGAATGATTATAAACTGACCTCTCTATGAAGTGCTTGATATCAACTGAAGCCAATGCAGGACGTGCTAAGGTTATCATCTGGAATAGCTGGGCAATAAACGGCATTAACTCCTTTGGAAACATTGTTGAGATAAAATCTCTAATAATGGAAGAGTTTTTTTTATTGGAGAATGGATTCATTCAAAGCATACAAGAGATTTCACTGAAAATGCAAGAACTACTTCCACAAACAAATTCAGGAAATTTCCAAAAACTGCATAGACTTTAGAAGATTGCCTAATGGGCAATAGCAACTAGAATAAAGGAACTGAACGGACAACCCAGAGTGAGGTTGTACAATATTAGATTGAGAGTATGAGAGAAGATCAGGTTGTAATGATTCAGAGAGCAAAAGCAAGAGCAGACGCGCCCATCCGGACAGACTGATGGTATCTTTGATTCACAGACGGACATCTTACACTACTGAGTCAGTGGGAGGAAAGGTGAAGAGAATAAGAGACAAATGCATAGCATTTTGTTTCCATGCACAGAACATTGAAGCGAATTGTAATGATTCAACTACAGTTGTTAAAATGTCATGAGTACTTTTTAATAACACAATGATTCCACAAAGTTGTTTGTTTTCCAGTTAACATTATTTTAATGTTTACTTTGTGACTGACCAGAAAAGGTTAGTTAGACATCAGTATTGGTCTTTAGAAATGTTCTTTCCTTTACCGTGCCCTGGTGGGTCACACAATATCAACATTACGTTGAGGTTTGGAGGGGTTAAGCCTCAGATCTTATCTATACTATCCCCTCTGTTGGAAACAACTCTAGTAAGAACAGGATGCCTTTCCCCATGGTTGTAGTGCCTGCCAAGTTATACTGCACACACACTAAAAATTGCAGCTTGGCACTGTAAAGCTTCTTGACCCGTTGGAACCACATCTTAGTACAAGTCAGCACTCTGAGGGGGAAAGTAACTAAAATGAAGTTTAAAACATTCTGTAGAAGTACCTGTCACCAGATAATACAATTAACTGTTTATAGCTTCAGCAGTTCGTAAAATTTGGAATTGCAGTATTTTACTACATTCATATTGACGACCTGGTAAACAAACAAATTGAAATATTTTGAAAACTGAAGCTTTATGAATCTAATCTTTGAAGTTTGAGCATTGTATATAAATTGCTGAGTATGTGGCAGTCTTGCCATCTGCAGACAGACAGTACTGTGGATTATTGTGCTCCTGTATGAAGGAGTACATTGTTGCTGTTAATTATATGTAGAAATAAACCCAGTTGACTTTTAAATGTAATTGCTGTTCCAGTGTTCGAACAATCATGTGATTATCACCTACATGTTTTGAGCTGCATGAGAGAGACAATTGACATAATTTAGTTTAAACTGGCTATTTAAGTGTTTTTAGAATAACCAAAACAGAACATTTGTTTCTTGTGCATTACCATTGGTCAGTATTCATAAAATAGAAATTGTTAATTTAATATAGTAACTTTGCCATTTTCAGCAGAGATGTAAAACTTGTATACCCATACTTTAGATCTTGATGCTATAGGTCAAACATATCTTGACCAATATCATCTTAGCACTGCATTTGTTTCTTATCATATATATTACATTCGTTTTTTTAGAGAATTGTGGTGACTCAACACAATATTCAGAACACGAATCGTTTCCTAAAGAGCCTGAAGGCAATCTTTCACCCAGCAGTACGTTTATGCCAGCTGACAATAATGAAGGCATAGACAGTCATAACATGAAGGGTCCAGAGACTAGCAGTGATTTTTCTCAGTCTGAGGAGAGTCAGGTAAATTGTTTCAGAATGCACAGATTTGGGTATGAAATGTATTGTTATAAAATTGTAATTCACTTCACAAAAGTTTTGAAGGAGTCAGAATATCCTTTGAAATTGTGTGCCTGGGACTAAGATGTACCTTTTAGAGTTTCACATTTACTACAATCTTTGTTGTTTGATACCACAAGTGATCATTTTAAAATCTGATATATTATTGGCAGTGAATAATTTCACTTAGAGGGATCTTTGACTTTGCTTCCCTCTAGCCTTTTAAAGTCTACTCATTAAATAGAGTTTACTCATTAAATAGAAAATATAATATTTTCTAATATCGAGGCACTAAGCCCCTCAACTGATAGGTATTAAAGTGCAAAAGGTTTGAATTGGAATAAGCTTTTCACTATTAATACTGCTCAGCTCTGAGTTGTAGGTAATGACAATGAACCAGTTCCAAAAGTAACTTTTTAAACAATTTCTAGGAGTCTGAAGACCAGCAGGAAAATACCACTGGATATCAGTGTCCTCTTTGCGAGTTGACTTGTGAAACTACATGTGAACTGTCCACACACATCCAGCAGGTAAAGAGGTGCAATTGGGACTGGCCTATTGACTTAATTATTAACAATAACAACTTGCATTTATATAAGCACCCTTTACACGGGTTAGCATCCCAGGGCGCTTAAGGAACATGCTAAGGCCATATGCCAATGTATGTGCGTGGAAGGTATAGGCTGTATACAATTGTAATTGTGTTTTATTTGTTTTTTTAAAAATCACTACTGGCCTCTGAATCAGGGTGTCTTTGCTTTGTCGTTGAAATGTGATGAGCAACCAACATCAGACAATGATGTGGCCATTTCTGTGTTGAGCTTTACAGTTCTGAATGTTGAATGACTAAAATACTGGCCTTATGATCCAGCATTCTGCTAACAGAGCGCTGGTTATATGTATATGTATGGGTATATGTTATATAGCACTACTTCCATTTCTAAAAATAGACCATGTGCATATCCGGCTACAAATTCTTAACCTTTAAATGTGTACTAAAGTTCACAACAAATTTAACTAATCTGTTTTAACACTGATGTTTCTAGCACCATCAAGACATTAGAGGCACTAAGGGGATCAACTGCAGTATCTGTGGGGGCACATTGAACTCCATTAGTTCACTGGATAAACAAACGCTTGGCCCAGGGAGGAAGCCCCATCACTGTGCTGTTTGTGGACAAACATTAACAACAGAGGGCCACATACACAGGTCAGTTCTCTTTCCAAAATGTGACTCATTAGGATTTAGAGCTATTAGAATTGCAGTAGCACCAGTGTTGAAAAATACCCAGATATTCTCTATGATTCTTCCTTAGACTAACTTTGTTTTCATTGCCTGTTGCAGAAAGTCGGTATTTCTTTTAGGAATCCATTCCTATTGACTTAGGAGAAGTAAACAATGCAAATGACAAAACAGGAAGGGATGGACAATTGAAGAGCAGCAGGATTTAGTCAGCCACACCAGATACACCAACTAGAAAAAAACTCTATGAAATCATTCTCAGTTAATCTTCAGGCATGTTTAACATTTCACGCTTACAGTATTTCGTCCATTTTGTTTGTAGCCAGCCAGATTCTGAATACAGAAATTAAAATCTTTCATAAAACAAATAATTTGGGCTACTGTACATTTCTTGTAATTTTCGTCAGAAAAAAATGAAACTTTCACTGGACAGTACAAAATTAAAAAAAAGTAATTCATTTTATGACTGGTGTGGAACATTATTCACAAATTGGCTGTCACTTTCTCCTACAAATGCAGTCTCTACACTTCACAATAAAATCCTGTGAAGTGCTCTGAGATGTCTCGACAATGTAATATGGCACTCTATCAAATGCTAGGATTATTTTTATTATCGTTAAACTTCAGATATGGGAATGGTGCTCCCCCCTCCGTCAGAAGTTCTGTACTTCCTCCTCCCCACCTCTTCAATAAGTTGGGGGATGTCATTGAGTTATATCAATCAAGAGAGAGATTTGATTTTGGCAGTCGTATTCTGGTTGCACACTCGCAATGTGTCACTGACCTATTAGAACCTAGAAAATGAAGAATTTTTTAACGTGTGTTTCATTTCTGTGTGTTAAAAATAAAAATCCTAAAGGTGTATAATTGTATGTTGCATTCTTACTGATTTGAGGTGTTTGGATTTGCAGCGAGAAGTTGTCAGATGGAAAACCTGACCCTGAGCATAATTGTCCAGGAGCCTCTGTACCTGAAGAACCAGGACCTTTCTGGAATTCTGTCGTGGCTGCCAGCATGCTGTTTGTCTGTGAAACATGTATAACGTATAGAAATCTGATGGAGGCACAAGAGACTTCAGTACAAAAATGGATGGTCCGTCGACAGAATGAGCCCCTGCACATACGTCTTCAAAGACTTGAACGTGAGAGGACAGCAAAAAGACTAAAACGTGCGAATGAAACGCCAGACGAAAGGGAGACGAGGAGGCTGCGAGATCGTGAAGCTAAACGTCTTCAGAGATTGCAGGAAAGTGAAGAGCAAAGGGCAAGGAGGTTACAGCGTGACCGGGAAGCCATGAGAATGAAGCGGGCGAATGAAACGCCAGAAAAACGGCAAGCAAGACTTATACGAGAGAGGGAAGCAAAACGAATAAAGAGGCGCTTACAGAAATTAGATCCCAGTCTGTCACTTCACATTTCCCAGAACCCTTCAACACCCGAGATAAACCCATTCCAACTTCACGTTGCATGACCAAGTCTGTGAGGTGAATACAAGATGATAGGATTTTGAGTGAGTTAAGTTATTTTTGCCATTGACACCTTCTAAGATTCATCAAGAACTTCCCTTCTTTCATCCCTCTTTCCCCGTTGAGATCAGTGTATACAAGAAGTCAGGATACAGGCATAAATGGAACAGATAGGAAACAATTTAATGTAATTTGTAGGTGTAAACTCGTACACTAAATGTTACCAGATGCACATGAGCTTTATCAACCTTTCAAAATCAAATGTGACATGCCAGTGGTTCCGACCCTTCTTACGGATCTTTGATCTGTTCTATTCTGTGAAACTTGACTGACTGGAACAGTGTACTAAAAATTTCTTCACACTTTATCATTGAATTATTTTTTGCACTTTAAAAGAATGTAGCATGCTGCAAACCTAATGCTAACATCTTCCTCTGTACTGTGTCAATTCTGTATTGGACTAAAGACTTGGACCAGATTGCTTCAAGGGATAATCCTAGTTGGCAAAGCAGGATTTGGAATTTTTTTAAAAAAACGCAAAATTGGGTTTTATTCTAGTTGAGTAATCTTCTTAAAATCATCATATTTGGTGTTTTATTGAACACCATCTGAATTTGTGAGAATGAAAGATACCTTCTGCAGTTTTGCATCCGTTTAAAATGTCATGTTGTGTATATTTAGAGGTTTTATTTTTAAAATCTGATCGGTCAAATGTGAATACCATTAACACTATGGGAAAATCATAGAGCAACTTTTTTTTAATTATTGGTTGGTGTGATGGACTACTGTGATTTACTGACAATCAAAAGTATGGGGAAAGTTGACCATAACTATGCCAGTACTATATATACTGATACTGTATCCCTTTTACTGTTAACTATAGTCAGTTTTTACTTAAATCCTTAGTTACTGAAACAAAATCACAGCACCAAAATACAGTATATTGTTCTGTAGTTGGAGTCATCTTATGTGTATTGTAAATGTAGACAATGTAAAGTAAACTTTGAATTTTAGAATACATGAACTTTAGTATATTTGTCCAGCCTTTGGAATCCTACAACATAGGTGTTCTTATTGAGTTAAATTTCCTTATTCCCTGTGCATGAGACTGGGAAAACTAATTGGAAAAGTTTTTTGGCTGAATTGTTTTTGCATCTTCTTAGCCCATTATTCTTATGAATACAAATTACTGTAGATGAATTATCTCCCAACTGACAGGCCAGTTACTGCAAAATATATAATGCATTCTAAAATTAGATAATTATTAAACTTCAAATTTTATTAACTTGTAACTTTACGCTGGGTGTTATGCATGTTTCTGCTTTTTACAGATGTTGTCAAAGAACTGACACAATAGTAAACTTAGTCAATCAAGAATACAATCAGATCAAGACCAATATGTGGGTATATCTGAAATACAGCAACATTACAGTTTTCTTTTGAAGGCTTTCATGGTTTTGTTTTAAACTGTATTGGAACAAAGAAAAAAATTTTTTTTTAAAACCGCTCTGAAAGCCTATATAAACAATTGCTGTATATGGGTTGTTTGGGATTTTATTTTAAGTTTAATTGGAAGGGTCAGTATAGTTTTCCACCTTCCTGGTACAGGATTGTTCTTGCATTACTATTTGCACTTTTGTTTACAATTTATTTTGTACCAATGTTAAATAGTGCTGATATTTCTTTCCTATTTGTTTTAAGGGGTGGTTGCAAGATAGTGACGTTGCTCCATTTAAATATAATTTGCTTTGCCTCACTTGGCACAGTTATTTGTGCCTTTAGAAAAACTGATTGTGCTTCAGTTTGGCAGGTTTAGACAGTATCTGATAAAGGGTGGTAAATGCAGGACTATTAAGGAGTCCTATAATTCAGTGGTTAAGAGCCCTCGCCTCACAAGCAAGAGACTTGTGTTTGATTCCTGGCAGGTCAAGTTTCCTTAGGTCTGATAATAATCCCTCAAGAAAAAAAACACAATAATAATTTGGTTACTCAATCCGCGATTGTTTGTGGGACACTGCTGTGTGCCACATTTCGCCCACAAAATATACACTCAATTCACTTTACAGCATATTCTGTGAAGCGCTTTGAGACGTCTGGAAGACATAAAAAGCGCTGTATCAAACGCAAGGATTATTATTATTATCTTCCTGGGAATTAGGTTAGCAGGATTCACCCCTCCAGGGAGCGAGGCCACATTCCATTCCAATAAACATTTCTGGAATTTCCATTTATAGGTTGGATACTCTTAAATATGTTGTTTGGTTTCTGCATGTCAAACACCTGGCTGACCCCCCTAAAAATTTTTGAATGATAACCCAAACTAAGTGTCTGGATTGGAGATTGTTTGGAAAGAATGTTTGTGATGGATCAGTGTTTTTAAACTGGTCACGTTTTGTTATTGTTTATCCTTTTATTATGACAATCCCAATTTGATGTTTATCATCTTAACTTATTCTTGACCAATACAAATGAGTTGCTATTGTGGATACAAGAATATCATTGTTTCCATTAGTAACTCTTGTTTTACCTTTCCAAGAAGGTATTCTCAAGAAATTTGTTCAGTTTTTTTTTTACAGAAAATCCTAGTCCATTATTCAAGACTGTATTGTTCTATGTATGTTGCCAATAAAACCCGATTGAAAATAATTTCAATCTGTGTATGTTCGTTTTTCTCTGGAAGTCTAGTTAACTTGCTTTTAATGAAAGTACTTGAATGATAACATTTTGGTATCTTGGGAGATAGTGATATCACAACAGGAATTGGACTCTGCCAATATTTACATTGTATTATAATACTGCTATTATAATCCCTTCATTTTGGTAATAGCATCTCATCACATTATCAAATGAATGTGTCAAAAGCACTGAACAAGATTTACTACAATGTTCCATACACAGCCATGAAGTGACAGACCAATTTGTCTTGCTATAACTGCTTACAGTCAGTGAACTTCCCTTGAGGGAAGGACACAAATGGGAAAGACAATGATTACTTACAACATTAATGCAAGAAATACAATACTTTTAATTTATTTTTATCTCTCTGTTTATCGAAAGCTCTCATCTCTAGTGTGTCAAACTGAGAAAACTTTAATTGCATCCATTATTCAGGCCAAAGCAATTAATTTACATCAGGCATTGGTACTAATGAAATAAGCGAAAATTACAAGTGCCTCCAGTTGATAGTCTGACAATATAGTCAGACCCTTGTGGATACCACCATTCACCTCCCACTTACTATCGCCCTCAGGTTTCAGCAACTCTTTCACTTCTAGACTATTTCAGGGATTTTTTTTTTTTTTTTTTTGCAATTGATCCCATGTTTGGCAGTAAATTGATCTTTGGATCTCGAAATTGATTTCTTTGAAAAAAATGAAAACCAAATTTACAATGTGTTATAATCCACATCGAGTTATACAGTATGTGAACTACACAGCGCCATCTACTGACTCAAAAGAGGTACTGCAACTGCATCTTAGCATTATGTACTGCCCCACAGGTGGCTGTTGAATGAAGGATCAAATTGCTCCTGAACAAATGAGATATGGTGAGTGGAATGCCTGCGAATCAAATTCAAGTCTGTGGGTCTAAAACAAAAAGCATCAAGTTGCCTGTGGCCGGTAATCAAACGTTCAAAGTATTGTTAAGATGTACCACAGTAACAGTTGAATCTTCCTGTCATATGCTATCTCGATTGTTCTGATCGCTGCTCATCAGTCCATTCTAAATACAGTACCGGTACAATTTATTAGATAAAAATCTATCAACCAGGTGAGCAGTGAAACAATAGGTGCAAAGCTACGTAGTGAAACAGGAAAGCATTAGATGGTACAAAGCTACATAAGTTACATTGGTGAATCTCACTAAGAAAATTACAAAAGCTGTAGTTAATGAGTCCACTCAATAATTACTCTGAGACCATAGTAAAATGTAGAGTTTATATTATGCAGTGTTTACATACCAACAAATTAATGCAATAATACATAAGAATGTTAGGCTTGACAATAAAAATACATTTTTTTTCTTTTGCCGGTACACAAAATTAACATTAGACAGCATAAAAGTCCACAAAAATACAAATATACAAATCTAAACTTTTTGGGTTTTTTTTGTATTTTTTTTAAAAAGGTTACAAAACACAACAAAATATAGATTAATGCTTTGAAGATTTGGGTAGGAATGCAGCGATTCTAAGTTAGAACGTGACCAATACCTTTTTAGCTGATGCAGTATATACCAATCCCAAGACTCGAGATCATGCCTACGAAGTTGCCTATTCAAAGATTTTGAAATGGCCAGCCTGCACATAATATTAAGACTCGTAGTTAAAGCCACCAATCATTTGTTCATGCCAGGACTACTAAACCATTTTTTTTAATCAATATTTTTTCTTTCCATACACAAAATACTTCATAGCCAGGAGAAACTTTCCCAATGAATTACCAATTTATGTCAGCAAAAAACGTTCGCTAATATGGGCTTTGGAATGAGTACAGTAAACTCCTGATAACTCGTCGCTCCAAGGGATAAGGGCTCAGTGACGAGTTATTCAGAGCAGCTAGTTAGGCATACGTATAAAATATATAAATAAATGCCACCGGGATAATAACAGCATGATGACTTAAGCGGTAGGGACAAGTTAAGCCAGGGTCGAGTTATCAGGGGTTTCCTGTAATTATGGCCACTAAAATCCAGTACTGTATGTTGATTCATAAACTGCATCCACTCAAACTCGTGCATTCTGTCTGCAAGGATTTATCAATCTATCAAGTTGAAGTGCATTCTACAATTCCCGTAATTAGTAACTGTTACTAATAGCAGTTACTGATCAAATCCAACTCACGATGATGAAGGCGCTTTTGATTCACCAAATGGACGGTCATCTATCATGTCGTGAAAAAATTTACAAGCTAAAGAAGATGTTATGCCTGTTTGCAAAGTGATTATATTGTGTAGTGAAGCAGTGCACTTGTGAATAGAGATGAGAAATCCTGGCTCCACCACACTTTCAAGTGAGTTGCCAAGAGGGTGGTTAACATTGTGCTTTCATAGACTGACTTAGTAATAATATTCTATCAATGCTATCGCTGATGCTGAATTCAACATGAAAAGTCAATTTTGTTATCTGAATACATTTTTTACTGTGGATTATGTGGTGGATCTTTTAACTCAAATTCTCTGCAGCACAGAAAAATAACTATTTTGCTCAAGAACACTGAACATGATTAATTAAACATTACAAATGACTGATTTTGTAAACATGTACACCCAAAAGTTGTACAGGAAATTCAGTTCTCAAAGGGTCAGCAACTGCTTGGAAGAAGAAATCTCAAGTCTCCTTTCCTTGAGCTGTTTTTGAACTTGGTTTCAAGGAAAGAGGTAATTACTGATGCTTGATCATTTGAACAATCTAGATATGGGGCAGAATACAGGTTTGTTTACCAATACATGTGCTACATAGTCTGTAGTTGTGAATGCTGTCAAATCTACTGAAAGATTAATGCACTGTGGCTAGGATTGAGCAAATCCACTATTGTTGTCTCAAAACATTGTTGGAACAGTATCACCTCCATCCCACCATTACCTTTGACGTCGTGCGATAGTAAACATTGATTGTCAGCTGAATGCTGTAATAAGATTCTCTACTCAAACTCCATCGATTGAAAGCTAAACTTTAGACATTAACTTATTTATGGACAATTGAAAAGACAGTTTCCCTTCTGTTGGGCTACGCAATTTAAAAATACTATAATTAAATCTTGTGCTGATCTCTTTTGATAGATTTAATCGTTCCAAGAAATTTGAAGTAAATACAACAATAATTTGTGTTACCTTTATGCTCTATGAACATTGAGATTTTGACAAGATATATCAGCAAAACCTTAGCTCATTTCTGAAAGGAAATTCACTTAATTTGTTGCTCAGCAAATATCAATTAGGCAACAGGACTAAAAGGTCAGGAGATGGTGTCAAATACAGAAACCATCAGAAATTTACACATTTGTAAACTTTCTGATGGTACAGCTATACACTATGTAAATATGTTTGAATATTTTAATATGATTTTATTCCACATGGAATTGACTGCAAATGTCACAAAACATGACAGAATTGTTATATTTGAAATCCAGCCTTGTTACATTGTACAAAAAAGATACAGTCACATTAAATGTAAATATTAAAAGTACTGTCAGATATCGAAAGGAATGTTGTAACAAGATTCTCCACTTACTGTTACCAAGTAGTCTGAAAAAAAATTGAATGTATAAAATTTTTATGTAGCACTAATATATAGGTCTAGCATGTTAAAAGTTGCTTAAAGTACATTACGCAACTGACAGAGAATGTTACTAAGCAGGTCAAGACTTGGCATTTACTCTTCAATTAGCATTTTTGCTAATTCAGATTGCTTTTCTTCGAATATACCAGAACTTGCTGTGCATCTGTTCAGTGCTCTTAAAATGTAGATGCAATAGCATGCTAAATACTCCTGTACAAATATTGTATCACTCCATGCAATAAATAGCAAAATAAATTACAATACCCTAAAGTTTTGATTAGAATGCATAACTTACTTGGGGAGGATCAAAAGGCATAAAATCTAGAAAGCAGAAATTTTAACATGGTGTAAATTGCTGTATAAAGTGAAATACATAACAATACAACAAATTCTGTAGTGAAACGTTGGTATGAAACCTTAGCCGGTGATCTTAGCCCAATAAAGACTTGCTTTAATAGTCAAATTAGTTAGTCCACACTGTAATCAGTAAAGTCTGATACAGCTTCTAAATTAAAAAATATTCATGCTTGTTTTAATTCTGTGAAGAATATAAAAGGTATAGTTTTGAGTCCAGTTTCAGGCATTTTTGTTGCAGCTCAACAATTTTGAACCAATTTGCGCTTTATTCTATGGAATTTTATTCAATTAGAAATTTAACCTTACTAGGGCCAGAAGAAAAGCTTTCAACTTTTTGAATCCGGTTTGGTATAATTCCTGAATTTTTACACATCCCTTTTATTTCTTTCCCCATTGTCGTTTTTTGGCATGTGCGATTCCCATATAAATCCTAAACATGGTTTGAGACAGATGGGCAGCCATGAAGTTCCAGTGATATGTCAAGGATAAAATGCTCACAAAAGTAGCCTGGATATTTGGATTCTCAAAGAATATTTTAAAGGAGCAAGATTTATGTCAACACTAAATCAGCAAAGTAGAGAACAACAAATAGGCAGTGTGCTAGTAAGTATGCCAAGGCTTAGTGGAGTTTCTTTTAATCTTTAAACATCACCACCTTTTACATAATGCTTTTGTATAAACATAAAATTGTTAAAATACTCATGGCTTAAGGCTGTGCTAAATTGCAGTCTAACCAGCGATACAGAGAAAACAATTCTCACTTTATCAGAGGGTGCAACATTTTTTAAAAAAAATACTGACTGAGCTTCAGTATACCCAAGAAGTTGTGCAAAAAGTCAAATAGATTTCACAACCGTGTGTATCAATGTTTAAATATGTGGTCCCCGGTGATTCTCTCATCATGTCCAGTACATGACAAGACTGTTCAAGGGTACCATGCTTTTTACAATTTTTTAAATCAGCTAAACATGAAACAATGTGCAAAGGTTTCTCAATGTAGATATCATAAAAACCTCTGTTTTGTATGGCATTTTGAATAAAACAGTAAAACTTCCCTCGCATGAAAATTAGGGGCAAATAATTTGTAAGACAGTGCAAGTTGATAATGTCATTTTGCTTTCTTAAATTAAGCTCATGGAAAATGAACTTAAAACTGTCAAAGTGCATAAATACAAGCTCAATGCATGCCAGACAAAAATACCACTAAGGGATGAACAGCAATACCAGAAGTATATTGGGTTTTCCAGTCAGTTTAACTAGCCTGCTTGGGAAGGACACAAATGGCATCATCAGCACTATAGTCATGTAAAAGTGCCAGTGACAAAAAGTTTAACATAAAATATAATATATACCAAGCTAAACTCAAGAAAGCATTTTGGTACTAGTTCTAATATCCTTTTCACATCACTATTAAATACAAATGTGACTTGATTAGCCAAATGTTTTTCTGGGGAACCAATCGCCAGAAGAATAAAACCAGAATTTCTAGTAGTGCACACAATTGTTTTTTTGAAGTAAATTAATCTAAACTTCCCTCTCGTTTTAAATTTTTCATTAATTTCAGTTCCCTTCATGGTTTGAAAAAAAGATCTGTCCACGTCCATCTACCTATTGCACCTTTTTGCTTTCTTTACTGCAAGGATGACAGTAAGCTATAGATGGAAGTGTCAGAAACAATAACATACATAAGCACAACACTTGGATAAAACTGGGCTGAGTTATTTCCAACCCGCAGCAAATAAATGTATGAAATTATCAAAACTGTGACGTAAGAGGAACACAAATGAAGCACTACCTTTTGACAGATACAAGCAAAGTACGCCACTGAAAGGACAGCAAGAGGAGCAGTAAGCTCGGAGTAAATGTGATACAATTTAGTTTACCTGTCTTTAGAAAAAGGAAGAACTATCTCTTGACTATCCAGTATCAACTACAGACATCGATCGGATCAAAAAGCAAAAAAGGATTTCACCAGCTGAACTCAAATATATGAATCTCTCAACACACAAAAATCCTTCATTCTATTAATCCCTTTTCCATGTACAATTCTACTTACTTTTACCCATTAATATGCCGGCCAATAACAACAATTTGGTTACAACAACTGAATCAAACAACTCACTGTTGCACCTCTGGCAGATTCTAAACATTAAAGGAGAAGTTTGCCGTGAAGTGAAATTCTGAGAGAGTTGAAAAGTTGCATTCGAGCATAACTACAAGATGGACTTTTTAGATATATTTGAAAGTTCTTGCCTAAGCCACATGATGCTTCAATGTCTAACATGACACAAGACCAGTTTGTGGTTCATCTCAAACACGGCACAGCGTAGCATAATTCAGCAAATGAAATTTCAGATCACTCCCGAATACAAAATAAAATACTATCATCTTTTGTTGGACTGCTTAACCTGTGAATCAGATTAATTTATATCACAAAAACAATCTTTCAATTGCTGCAACTAACAAGGATTCCATCCTAGTTCATTGTTTGAATGTTACAAAGTAAAATGTCTACAATTTGAGAAAGGAAGCTGCTTACTTTTTAAAGTTAAAATACCATCATAATCCTTTGCATTAATTCAAATGGAAGAAAAATCTTGAAAAATTTAGCCATGGGTAAGGAAATTGCAAGGTAATACATCATTAAGTCATAGAAACTTAATTCCAGGTACACAGCTCAATGTCCTGTTGATGTAAACAAGAAGTATCTATGTATTATACATTATTCAGAAATGGAGCTTGTATCAGTTTTTCAGGCACTCAAGTCTACTATACTCAGTTTATTTAGCGTTAGATGAGTTCTTTCTGGGAATAAATTCTGAGCAGACAGCGAAATTAACATTAGGCATGGAACGGGTACCCCCATAATATTCTGACTCAATTTCTGTGAAAATTTAAAAAGTACATATGGACATTCAGATCCACTAGATATCTCAGCAAAACATTTCCAAAAGTCAAATATACTTTTACACCCACACAAACTGTCAAGACTGAATTGAAGAACACAATTTGCTCTGCTTCATTTCAAATAGATCCAGTAGGTTAAGTAATAAGGCTGTCTTTGGTGCCTTATTAAATGAAGTCCTCCTTACAATGAATAAATAAATGTCCACCCTAAAATTTCTCAAAGATAATTTTCTTGAAGGAATATTTAGGATGGAGTAAAATCTGTTTTGTCGAATGGTAACACAATCACTGACCTCAGGATATTTACAATTCACAATATATAAAATTTTGCCCCTTGTTCTCAACAGCAAGTTTTTTTTAATTGTCTCATATCAATAATAACAGTCAAGTCACACTGAATTTCACTTGAAACCTAACAGAAATTCTGGAATTAAACTAAAAATCACAAACGATTAGGCACCTGCAGTTTTAACCAAAATAACAAGGGACTATGCAACCAGATTCAGAATGATTTGGATCTTTTAGAAAGTGAGGTGGCAGATAAAGTATAAGCAACAAAAAGAGGTAATATGTGTTAAATGGTGCAACTATGCAGTGTGCTGATTAGGATATTGTGGACAAGTCTATAAAACTGTCAGTCCAGTGTTTGGCTCCAATAAAAATGGCAAATAAGGTAATGGATTGCATTAAAAGGATTAAAAGAGGGATAGAGTGCAAATCAAACAAAGTGAACTTGTTATATAGTGTTGGTCAGACCTCATCTGGTGTACTGTATGCAGTTCTGATCACCTAAATAACAGGAAGGATATTACCTTTGATAAGGTATGGAGGTGAGCAGTAGGAAGAAACCAAATGCATGACTGGAGAGAGGAGGATTGAGGCATTTTCTGAGAGGGCAGATAGGTTGTATTGAGAATCAACAATGGAATGAGCTCAATTAACCTAAGAGTACTTTCCTGTTCCTAAAATTCTTATGTTTTTTGATGAGAACTTCGTAATGCTGCAACGCTTTTGAAGTATTCGCCCGGATCTGTTATTAAGATCCTCAGTTACTTTACATTACAAAAAAATCTCTTGTATGTTCCCATTTATTGTTAATGACAGATCTAATTCCTTGTATGATGCAAATGCTTTGCGAATGTTATCAAAAGCACATTTCAATACATTATTTAAGAGAATTAATAGAAGGTTGACCAAGGACATATGAAAAATGTCTCAATTTATACTCTTCCCCCTCCCCTCCTCCCGCTCAGTGTTCCAGCATTCATTTCCCAGCATTTGATCGTCCCTCAATTGAGAGTTTGACTTCCTGTGGTATGAATGACGGCCGTGATGTTCTGGGTTCCTCTGACTGAAAACCATCTCTTTGGAAAGCCGATGCTGACCACCGAGGATGATAATTTGGGTGGCCGGAAATATGTGAACTTTCAGAGTCTGTGTGCAAATGCTGCACTGCGGAGTCCTTTGGCTGACTTCTAGTCTCAGATATTCTGTCTGTATGCAGTGAGATTACTGAAGGAGCTAAATTGGCTTCAGACATTCCAACAGTCCTCAAGTCATGAGCTGCAACAGCATTGAGTGGAGGCGATGCTTGCTGGGTGGATCTCCTACCAGAGGTTTGCATGCTGAGTGATATGCAGACATTACCCACTGTTAGTCTTTGACACGGAAGTCCAAAGAGCTGTGCAGTGCGCTCCGGGTTACAAGAAGACCAGCCCTGGCTAAACACAAAGAATGGATGCTCTGAAGAGACTTCCACACTCACCTATAACACAGGAAAAAAAATCACCAAATGTCTCAATGTCACATATACATTAACACTCCCAATAACACAGCAATACTCGATTTGCATTCCTATATTAATAAAGCTCATTAAGTATTTCCCGTATGAACCACCCAAATTTTAATCCATCCAACTAATGGCTGTAATCCACCTCCCACCGCCCCCCAATTCTACAATGAGTTAACTTCTCTAAAAAGACAGTACAAGGCACCAAGTCTTTCCAAGTATTCTATTTCTCAATACACTGTGGAAATGTTTGGGGATTGTTTTTTCAGCGACAAGAGGAAATATGCATTTTCCTGTAAGAGAATACAATAGGTTTCAGATTCTGTACCCACCGACTATTTTGTTTATATTTTCAACAGGTTCTTCCTATTACAAAGATTCCCTTCACAAGTCTGGCTGCAGGTTCCCATAACAAGTTTAAACCAGCAAATGGCTGGGTGCCATATAATCACCAAATCTATAAGGGTACCCACAACAAATATCTGTATCAAAAATATACAGATGGACACGAGCAAACGTGGACACAATCATTGACCTTGAGCTGTTCAATGTTTTTCATCAAGAAGATAATCTTTATCATACTGCAGACTTACCTTGGTTTGAGGTTCTCCAACAGAGAAATGGAGGGTAAAGTAGCCAGGACGCTGGCTTTCAACAATGTCAACCAAAGTACTGGAGTCAATCTTTAAACCACCACTGATCTCTGCACTACGCACAAAGTCCTGCGCCTGCAGGTCTTCTACACGTTTCAGCTCTCCATTCGCTAATTGGATGATGGCACCTTTCATAAAGTGTGATGGGATGTGAACAGGCGACTGCTGGATCAAAACAGATTGGAGGAGTGGTACTGTGGGATGTGATGTTTGAAGTGGAACCACTGGACAAGTTCTTGCTTGCACGTCAAGATGCTTTTGACCTGTGGTTTCTGTAGTTATGGCAACATTGTTAACCACTGAACCATCCTCAAGAACAGGAGCATCAACAGGCATCAACACTGGCTGCCCATTGGCTAATACCACTGTTTTATGCAAACGTCCATGTTGGCCATCTACCTGTTGCTTGTTAAGTCCTGATGCAACGTGCTGCTGAGTAGGCAAATACACAGACCGTGGTAATTGCTCATTAGAAGAGAATTCTGTAATGGTCTTACCTGGAATGATTTGTGAGTGGTATCTTATCTGTTCTTGGCTTTTGAAAGAATTGTGTAAGATTTTCACATTACTTAAGACTTCTTTTCTGTTGTCTAGAGGACCCTGCGATCCTTCACCCAAATTCCCAACCACTTGTTGGACTTCTAGGTCTGTATCTGGTGTGCTCCGTTGGGCTGGAGAAACAGTCTCGTTCCTTGGCTCCCTGTGACCAGAAAAATGTGGGCTACCTCTTAGGCATTCCATTGATGAGGCAGAAGGATGGATTTCTTTTCTGATGCCAACATGTTGGAGCTCTATGAACCTTTCTTGTGGCCGTCTCTCCAGATGTTGATAATCAGAAACCCTTTTGCCTCGGTTTGATGAGACTTCTGTAGTTTCTCTGTCCTTTACCACTTGGTGACTATACCGGTTTTCGGTACAGATATCTTGACTTGGCATGGCTGTGGCAAAGGCTGCGTATGATGGTGTTAGTAGCGAGGGATGAAAATGGACTGGAACCCTGCCATGGGTCATGCCTTGCGGGAGATCGGCTGTGGTTAGATGAGACAATTGTGCTTGCGGTGTAAAACTGTGTATGGGAGATCCAGTGGCTTTGCTGTAGGCCTGTGCAGGAGATGCTGACTGAGGCGGAGGGGTACCCTCAGCTATAACGGAAGGATATGGAACAAGATGGGAAAGATGAGAAGTCGGGATGCCCATGCCAGGAGTAATGAGAGGATTTGGGACAATCCCATGAGAGACATATGGTACTGTGTATGGAGCTCCTACAAATTGCAGTGAAGTGTGGGGTATTTGGGTATAATGAATAGGAGCATATGGAACGCCATGGTGCTGGAGAAGAGGAGATGCAACACTGTATGCCGGTGAAAGGTGCCCCACATTCACCAATGAGGGTTGAGCACTCAGTGAATAACTTGCAGAAGGCACAGCCAGTTTGTACATCATGCCATACTGATCCACAGCAACGCCTGGTGAGCTTTCCCCATTATCAGCTGCAACTCCATACCTTAACATTACTTGGTTCTCTCCAGCAGCACTTCCTGTCCAATCTGCTGCATCACTTACAGTGGTGCTGTTGGCCGGCAGGCTATTATTCTTCAGGATCTCCTCACCTCCAGTGTTATTCTGTAGTAGTTCGCGTTTCTTTGGTGGCAGGCATTCTTGGTTTCTCTCATAAGTAGGTTTCATATTGTTCTCTGGGGAGTTACCTTTTTCTCTGTAATTATCACTAAGGAGTGCCAGCAGGAGGACAAAGATATTCTAGAGCTCTCCTCAAACCACCTGCTGACAATGCCCTGTCAATTGAGGGAAGAAAAAACATTTTACTGACAGGGGAAGAGCTTAAAAGACAATGTAAATAGATTATAGATCTCATATACTGTACTTGTTTTTTTTGCATTATTCAGTGTGAGGGGTGTCAGTGCTGAGAATAGGAAATGTTTTGTCGGATAGATGGAGCTCAGAGTAAAGATTGATCTACACTGTTTCAATATACTTTGAACCCCCAACCATAGAAGAGTTCACTGCAAGTCAACATTGGAGCTCCCAGAATAACAATAAACCTGCATTTTATATAACATTCTATCACGTATTCAAGCCTCAAAGTGCTTCACGGGATATACTGTGACTCTATACTTTATGGGTGAATTTGGCAGCTAATTTGCATGCAGCTATATCCCACAAACGATTATGGAATGAATAACCAATTTTAATTGGAGGATTGCTGGCCAGAAACTCCCTCCTCTTTACAAATAGAGCATGGAATCTTTGATTTGCACGGTAAATAGATGAGTGGGAGGAAGCTCTGCTCTCAGTGACTAGTCTGCCCATCCCAGTCCTGCCAGCCTGGTTGGTCTGTCATCAGCAGGGCCCTGGAGTATTGCTAACTTGTCTGGTTCGGGAAGCGGACTACCGAGACTGCCAAAATGGATTAACTTAATTTTTGTCACCCAGTGTTTTTGTGCATTTAAAAGAAAGATTACCTCACATGTTAAACCTCCCATAGTCTGTCAATCATCAGGATGATGCCAATCATTTCAAGTACAGGAACTAAAGCAGCATCCACAATGGCAACTTCTGCTGAAGAAAAACAGATTTTGGACACATCAGGCAGTTCACAGGAATATAAGTATGCCTCCAGGTTAATACAATCTTAACACACAGCAACGACATTTCATTTTATTTATAAAGATAAAGACAGATAGTTTAGGTCCATTGATTGCACTTTCAACAGGATAGTTTAGGCCATTAATGGCTGAAATAATTTACACATTGTATGCTTCCTCACTTCTCTTTCGTAGAGGTCTGTGCAATTCAGAAAAATACAGTGGAGGTGAAAGTTCCTTATTCAACCGATAGAACCTGTAGGTTTAACAGAGCATTTCTACTTCCTTTATGGAGGCTGAGACAGCACCACACCTATTCTGTTTTCTATAACTGGGGAATCAAGCAAAATAACAGGGACTGACAATACAACAAAGGAAATTACCTTTTCTGCCTTAGGGCATCTTGGGTTCAATAGTAATGTTCCCACTGCCACCCTAAACAGCAACCTTATTAAGTGTGGGCTGGGTGGTCCTCATCGGTATCCACTATATGCTGTATCTATTCACCGAGCTAATAACTTTCAAATTCCTTACATTAACAACTGCTCTTTAACAGAGGCTGAAATGACCTGGCCGATGATAAATGTATGACTCCACAAAGTGGGCTACATTTGGCCTTCACAGATATGCAAAACAGACAGGTTTCCATGACAAACCAAAATGAAGCCCAAACAATGTAATGCACAGAAGATAATTAGCTGAGTTTACTCCAAAATCAATAATCTGTCTTTTCAAAGATGCAGTGGAGCCAAGCTAACATTGACTTCAATTTGGAATCAATCCAGAATACGTGAAATGCACAAATAGTGAGAATCATTAAACATGCTCTTGCCAGAAGGGGATGTGTATTACTAGCTGCAGTGCTCTTATGATGGCTAGCCTCATACAATACAGGGAAATAGCTTGGGCTGCCGAGCATGCAAATCTCAGAGGGTACAACAAGTAAAAGCATGGTAATATGTGGTTCTTAGAATCAATGTTAAACCAAAATGAATGCATACTAACATGCAGATTCTTTTTATGGTGATTTACATTTGGTCTATGAAAATGCCCTTTTCATATGACCGAACCTCAGAAATAGCAAGGTAATATCTATGTCCCTACATAGATCTTTGGCTGTATTACCGGAGTTATACAGCCACAGACACGAGATAGTCAACTTTTTTTGCTTACTTCCATAAAATTTAACAGGAACTGTTCCAACCATGAAAGACAGTGAAAGGGGAAGTTTCTCAATACAGTACATACAGCCTGCACATATGAAATAGTTTAAAGTGGCTAAAAATATGAGCAACTTGAGATCAACACATTTTTCACCAATAACACTTCTAAAAATGAATACTATAAATATAGCAATATGGGCTGGTTTTCATTTAATTTTTTTATTTGCAGCAAAATATTATGTTTCACTCAAATAATTATTTTCCACTTACTTCCTTTGATAATCTGAAACAGTTAAGCAGTGGATAAATCCCTCTACTCTACTCAAGTAATTGAATCCCAATCTCACTGCTACATTAACTCAAATTGTTCCACTTCCCTAACTAAGTCCAGATCATTGAAACAATGGAATTTGTTCAGCAGAAGCACTCAGACACCCCTCTGCCTAATCTTTCATCCCCACAGCCTTTAGTATTTCCAAATGATAAGTACCAAAAGATTTGTAAAATTCAAGTCAAGCTTTTCCACAGCTAAACTAGCTTTCCGTCACATTAAGTGCTAAAAATCACCTTTTCAAGTCACACAAAGATATCAAACGAACAAATGCAAAATTTGTTTCCATTAGAAATTCACTGATTTAAACAGATATAATAATATGAAACCTGGTAATTATACTAACAATGAAGCAGAAGTGAAATTTTCCAGGTGGCTGACAGAACTTGGCAGTGGGACTTGGCCTCAGGCACCATCATACTGAATGGAGCATTTTTTTCCAATTGTGCTTTGGATAGAAGTTCTTGCCAGAACATTTGAAAATGATTACAATGCAGGAGAGAATGAAAATGAAAGGTTTGTGCAAAGCTGCAATTCGTAGATCTCACATTTGGAGGCAAGTTGTGTGGAAATTTCATTCTTGATTTTGAAATTCTTTAGAATTTTACACCAGGCATCAAATCATTGACAAGAATGGGACTAAGACTAATGTGTTGGCTAGTAGGATGTGTCTTTGGACAGCGGTCATAAGCTGCTTTACTATAAAGCACCAAACAAGATACGAACTAGAACAGAATACTGGACTACTTCAACCCACTTCAACCATGGAACATTAGAGTCTCTGGAAGTAAAACTATCCTGTTGCATCAAATTTCCAGCAATTTTGTGCTGTAGACATACACTATGCACTGGCTTGTGGTAGCCCACATTTATTTCATTGTGCACCCAGCAGAGAGATTTTCTATAGAATTTTTTTAAAAAAAATGTTGATGCACTGGACCACCCAATTTCTCCAATACAAGTACATAAAAGAATATGTGGACAACAACATACCACTTAAGAATATGTATGCAGACAACACCTGCAGCTGACTCACTGACAGTCTGCAGAGACCTGTGCTGCAGGCACACTGTGAAGCTGCTTCTATCAAAGATTTTCTTGAGCTTTAACATTTCATATACATATTCACAGCTACCAAAAAATGATAAAAGACTGCAATAACCCTGGGGGAGTTTTACATGTACTGTATATCTTACATATATTGCATTTGTTGTTATATTATAATGTATTCACTACTTAGCAAATTGTATCACATTACAAGTGGGCAAAACTGCACAGTTGCAAAACAGAATACCTACAAGGCAACACAAGTCCTAGTCTCTGTTAAAAAGGTACGTTATATTTTAATTGACAGAATTCTTACATGGTGTTGTAAAAATTCATACAAAAGCAAGATGATCCTGGATCTAATTCTCAATCAGTACAGGGATTTGACAGGCCATGATTGGTCTCAAGAATGCCAAGGCTAAGAAACTGGAAAAAGCACAACATTTGAGCCGGGCCTTCTGCTCCTGGCTTTGTGACCCCAACTTTGGGCAAAGTGATCCTAACTTTGGGCAAAAGACAGGATTTTCCTGGGTTATACAGTATCTGTTAACACTCAGTATTGAGGTTTATGCATTGAAATGTCCACATGGCCATGGTACTCAAGGACTGAAGCCTGTAGAACATTATTCCAGTTAAGAGTTCATTCCTATTCAACCAAGTGCTGTGATCAGTTTTTGCTGCCACATTAATACTACTGTACAAACAGAATGCACCTTAATAAATTTTAAAACCCCATCCAACGCAGCGAGCCATATGCAAGGATAGTTCTCTAGTCGGTATTAGTTCTTTTCCTCTTGACTTCAAAGAAGGAGTAGCATCACGCTATTTGACCACAGAGTGCATCACAACCAAGACCAACCCTTATCTTCATCCAATGCGAATTCTGACAAGACTTACTCCCCCGCGTAGCCCAGGAACACAGAGGCCATTTGCAACACCTCTATTCCCTTGATTGAACCGCTGGCTAAAATTAGCCAACAACAACAACAACCACCACCACCACCACCAGGGATGGGACGTGAGTCTGCCCTGATCTTTGTCACGCAGCAACAGATCATGTTTTGCCTTAACTCGATGAGCTATGAGGGGTGTCCGCCCCTCCCTCTCAATCGTCGTTAAAAGATCTAACATAAATGCTTCGAAGTGGTTGCACCATTCTTTTTTTGGGGGGGAAGGGGGGGGGGGGGGGGGGGGGGGAAATACTCCATTCAATGGGACTGTACTTTTAGCCAAAGGTGACGCATAATATAATAACACTATTGCACAGGGTCAAGGTTTGTTGTGGAAGCTGCTGTGCTGAGCAGACTCCATCTTCTCAAACCTATAAACAGGAGGTGATTCCCAAACCTCGAAGTTACAGCACTGACAGGGCCCAGGAGCAAAAAAAAACACCCCCACCACCGGATTCTTCTCACAGATTTTTTTTTTAGGGGGGGGGTGAGGGGGGGAAATCTCCCAATAAAACAGGTTCACTGCCCATCGAATTGTCTCTTTACCTGAGAGTCTCATCCTGCGACCGCGACAGCTGCGACGAATTCACGGGCTCTTTCCCGTGACCCCCGCGCCCCTCTCTCTCTCTCTCTCTCTCCTCCCTCTCCCCCACCGGGTGACTCCCGGGGGTTTTAGTTTTCCCGTGAAAATCAGAAACTCAACACCACCAAAACTTTGCTGCAGACACCGCGGCGCACACTGATCCCGTCACCCGGGGGAGGGGTGGGGTGGGGAGGGGGGGGAGGGGCCGCCCAGCCCCGAGGATCCAACAGCAGCGCCACCCCCAGTGTGGGAGGACTGCATAGCAACAACAACAACATCATCATCATCATCATAACAATAATCGTTGCATTTGATATAGCGCTTTTCACGTCGGGAGGACGTCCCAAAGCGCTTCACAGAACACACTGTAAAGTGAATTGACTGCGTATATATTTGTGGGCGAACGCGGCGGCCGATCGGGCCACAGCAGCGTCCCCGCAAACAGTCGTAGATTGAAAATGACCAATTTATTATTGTTTTGGGTTTTTTGGAGGGATTGTTATTAGGGCTCTGTGTTGTGGAGTAAGGAAACTTGCCCAGGGTTTGGCCCTGACCTGCCGGGGATTGAACTCGGGTCTCTCGCTGGCAAAGCGAGCGCTCTAACCACTGAGCTACAGGACTCCACGTCGTCGAGACGTCTCAAAGCGCTTCACAGACATATACGCCGAAGTGAATTGACTGTACGTGTTGTGGGCGAAACGCGGCAGCCAATTGCGCACAGCAGCGTCCCCACAAACAGCTGGGGATTGAGTGACCGATTTATCATTATTCTTTTTTTTGAGCAACAACTTGCATTTACTCTTGAACGTGTTGATGGGTCTCTGTGTATGTCAGACACCCGGCTGAAAACCCCCACACCGCCCCCTCAAAAAAAAACTTACATCTGTACGGTGCCCTTTACGCGAGGCAGCGTCTCAGAGCGCCCGCCTTATGACAACGGCTTCCAACAAATACGGCAAAACTATGATGTAAAACCGCCGGAGAATATTCTTAAGTTTTCAGGTGTTTTATCGCAGGCTGGTGTCGGACATCTATCACAGACAAAGAAAGTCGATCGCAAAATCTTTTTTCTGTGCTAGCCTGGCTCAGTTGGTCCCGCTCTCGCCTTTTGAGTCGCAAACTTGTGGGTTCAAGCCCCACGTTGGGAAGTTTCCGTGCGCGGAATGGCTGCCGCGTTTCGCTTTGCGAAACACGCAGTCCAGAGCCACTTTACAGTGTCGTGGGAAGGTGTTTTGAGTCGTCTCGACGGCGTGACAGGGTGGTATATCAAATGCGAGGATTGTTATCGTTGTGAATTGGCAGCTTATCAATAAGATGGGGGTATTGTGTTGGTGGGGGGATGGTGGGGGTCGGGGAGGGGCTTGGTGGGCGGTGTGAGGGGAGTGGGAGAGTGTGAGGGGAGTGGGGGTGAGGGGAGTGGGGGGGGGTGAGTGGGAGTGGGGGGGGTGAGGGGAGTGGGGTGGTGAGTGGGAGTGGGGGGGGGGAGGGGAGGGGAGTGGGGGGGGTGGGGGGAGTGGGAGTGGGGGGTGGGGGAGTGGGGGGGGGGGGGGGGGGGGTGAGGGGAGTGGGGGGGGGGGGGGGGGGGGGGGGGGGGGGGGGGGGGGGGGGTGGGGGGGGGGGGGAGGGGGGGAGTGGGGGGGTGAGGGGAGTGGGGGGGAGTGGGGGGGGTGAGGGGAGTGGGGGGGGTGGGGGGGGGGGGGGGGTGGGGGGAGTGGGGGGGGGTGAGGGGAGTGGGGGGAGTGGGGGGGTGAGGGGGGAGTGGGGGGGGTGAGGGGAGTGGGGGGGGGGGGGGGGGGGGGGGGGGGGGGGGGGGGGGGAGTGGGGGGGGGGGGGGGGGGGGGGGGGGGGGGGTGAGGGGGGAGTGTAGACCGTCAGCAGTTGACAGAAGCCTCCGCGCGAGCGTCCGCCCGACGTCACGTGACCTGGTCACCAGCGCTGCTGATTGGCCGCCTCCTGCACCCAAGATGGCGGCCGGCGCGGTGGATCACGTCGTGGCGGACGCCGGAGCTTTCTTGAAGAACGCGCCGCTGCAGGTGAGTGAAACGAAACGCCGGGAACCCCGCGGGGCGACTGCCAGACTTTGGGATATCTCCGTATCGCTATATATTTTTAACGGTTTTATCACCGGTGCGGATCCTGACGGTGTGAGCCACCGCCGCCGCGGCTCCTCTGTCGGCTTTTCCAACGGTGTTAAGTTCACAGCGAGAAAGGCAATGAGGCCCTTCTCAGTGCCTTTCCACCTTCGGGCTCAGAGCCCCACAGCATCACCGACGGTCACGGTCCGAGTGAAACGAACCAATCAATCCCCAAGAGGTTGTTTATATTTCGCAGACTTGAGCGAAACGAAACGAGCCAGAAGTTCAGTATAATAATAATAATAATAATAATAACAATCCCTCCCCCAACAAAATCAATAATAAATTGGTCATTTTCGATCCACGGCTGTCTGCGGGGACGCTGCTGTGCGCGCAATCGGCCGCCGCGTTCGCCCACAAATGTATACAGTCGATGCACTTTCCAGTGTGTTCTGTGAAGCGCTTCGGGACGTCCTCCCGACGCGAAAAGCCCAATATCCAACGCGAGGATTATTATTATTATCATTAAAGCAGATCCTTGCATTGGATATGGCGCCTTATCGCGCGTCGTTGAGACGTCTCAGTGGGCTTCAGAGAGCTGCTGTGAAGCGAATTCAGTGTATGATTTTTCCGCGTAACGTGAGTGAGACCCTGACGAGTCGGGCCGAGTGTCGTAAGCGAAATTTGTGAACCGATCAGACCTCGTTCACTTCAGGGTAAGAATGTTGGAAATGTTAAATCAAAGTCTTTACACGTAATTCCAAGCAAAATAATCTTGCATTCATTCATTCATTCATTCATTATATTATATATAACTATATATTCATTATATATATATAAAACTAGCTAGGAGTCTAGGAGCCTAGTTAGTATATAACTAGTTAGTATATAACTAGGAGTCCTGTAGCTCAGTGGTTAGAATACTTGCCTCGCAAGCGAGAAACCTGGGTTGGATTCCCGGCAGGGCCAAACCTTTGTCAAGTTTCCTTACTCCACACGCCTGATATAATCCCTCAAGAAAAAAACAATAATAAATTGGTCACTTCAATCCACGACTGTTTGTGGGACACTGCTGTGCACAAATATACAGTCAATTCACTTTACAGTCTATTCTGTAAAGTGCTCTGAGATGTCTAGAAGACGTGAAAAGCACTGTATCAAATGCAAGGATTATTATTATTATTATTTATATTTGTACCTGTTGCAGCTACACTTGCAACCAAAGAATCCAACAGGGAATGTAGATTGACAAACAGACGGGCACATTTACTTATCCTTGAAAGGTTTGATTTTCGCTTAGGCATCTTTATGGCAAATATAAATGTATAATTTATAATCACTGGGACGTCCTCCCGACGTGAAAGGCGCTTTAAAAGTGTAAATGTGTTGTTGTTGTTGCCGCGACTTAGCTTCGTCTGTGTTCTTTATTTTATTCCCGCTGCCCCTTGGCTACATGCGTGCTCTGTGACTCAGAATGCCACAGCGCCACGGTCAGCTGGCAAGGCCACCAGGTGTAACTGCACGGTGCCACAGCGCCACTTTTACTCAGCGGCCACCAGGTGTAACTGCAGCGAAAAACTGAGAATACCTTTTAGATCATAACTCATGAACGATAGGAGATAACCTGAAAACAAATAAGCCCATGTCACTCCCAGATGCAAGACCTTTCCGATGAGGTATAAATCGTGTCAATCGGTTATTGAGATCCTTCTTGAAGGGCACGCAGACAGACAGACAGACAGACAGACAGACATTGTCGTTTTATTAGTATATATATATATGAAGATAGAAAGAACCGGTGCTGAGTGGCTGAAAAATGCCAGTACTAGGTATGTGACAACTTGGGCAAAACCTATGTAGTTATTTCCAAATTGTGATTTTTTTCTGGTCACATGCTTTCCATTTCATCCTGAGATGAGTATTGTTGCTTGCAGAAAGCAGATCTAATGTATGCGTTTTGAGAGAATTTCCCACTCTCCAGTATGTTTGATGTGTTCAAGGGAATTATATAAAAAATTTACAATTTGTTTGGGGATTTTAAAAAAAGGGTTTTACATTACAGCTTTTGATAACCTTTGTGGTGATTTTCAGGAGATTGGAAAAAATATCTACACGTTGAAGGAAGTTGTAAATGAAATAAGGGATAAGGAAACTAAACGGAGACTGGCAGTATTACCATACCAACTTACTTTCAAAGAACCATTCCCAGAATATATCCGACAAGGTGGGCTTATTTTTTACTTAAATAATGAAACTGGTTTAGAGTTAAGATGGACATTTTAAAATCCTGATTTATTTTTATAATCAAAAATGGATGGTGATTGATTTACTCAAAGAAAATATTTACATTTCTTTGAACTATGGAGTATTAATTTTTTTAATACGTGCCATTGTGTTTTTAACTAGAATTCTCTTAAGTTACAAACATTTAGATCTAGATGAAAGGTGCCTGGATTGAAAATTTATTTTTAATTGTTCATTATAGTGACTGAGTTTTCCAAGAAAACTGGAGACTATCCCAGTCTCTCTGCGACTGACATTAAAGTCTTGGCACTGACCTGTCAGCTTGAGACAGAATTTGTGGGATCAGACCATTTGAAGAAAGAACCAGAACGAAATGTAAGTCATGAAAACTTGATCTTTTGTTGAATATTTAAACATTTTATTCTATTTTATATATTCCATTTTCCCTTTTATTTCTAGAAAAAGTACTGTTTCTTATTGAAGTATGGTTCCACTGACATTGAGTGTTCTCTTGTCCCCCAAACTATCAAACTCCATGCCTAACTATTTGTTGTGGGAATATCTCAGCTGAGCACCAATCATGTCCTCTTCCAGTATGGTTACTCGATATCAATCAGGAGCTGGAATCCTGACTGATTTTTTTCCTCTATAAAATACGGAGTTTCTGAATATCCTTTTGCTCCTTGGTAGAGATCAGCTAACTGTGACATTCTATCTAGTGCCCTTCCAGACTATATGGCTTAGTGCTACACTGAGAATTATCCTTCACTATTGATGAATTCTATTTTTATATACATATATATTATATCAGAACAGACATATATATTACCACTTATCTAGTTCTGGTGTTTGAGTTACAGGATGTGTTTAACAAACATGTTTATAAATAAATCAAATCACTGTTGATTGTGTAAAATGCACTTTGTTCTTGTTCTTTGTTAGATTCAAGTAAATAGCACATTGCAACACCCAGAGGCTCCAGTCAATGTTGTTGGCTTCCACTTACCATCTAAGGTAAATATTTATAGTTCAAATGTACAGAGTTTACATTCAAGAATTGATTCAAAACCTGTTTCAAACAAACAAGAGAGCGCTGTTTTTCAGTAGATTTCATGCACACTAAATTTTCCACTATTTTAGTTATCAAAGTGTAGATCAATATAGATCATACATGACTAGTAACAATCATTTGCATTTCATTTCCCAAAAACAGATTTGTCTTGTCTTTTGTATGCTGATACTTTGTTCATCAAAAAAAACCTTATATCAACAATATGACACATGTAAATTAGAATGTGAGTTTTGCTTTAGTGCAATGTATCACAAAATAATATTACTTTCGTACAGCAACGACTAGAGAAAGACTACCCAAAGCGAGATGGTGCAGTATATTCAGATTCAGCTTCTGATTCCACCAACAAAAAACGTGCCAATGAGCAGTTGGCATCTAAATTCAACAGCTTTCAGTTTTGGAGATGTCCACTCCCAAATATTGAAGCAGATCTGCTAGATATCCTGGTAAGCAATGTACCTTTTAATCCTGTTATTTAGTTTAGCAAATCTATGAAATCTGTACTAAATACTAAAAGAGTATTAAACAATTTCAAGGTTTGGAGGCAGAAACTATTATCCTTTTGGACCAGTGAAATCTAGTTTGCTTTATTAGTGTCATCCCCTTTTCCCCAGTGTCAGCTCCATTGAGTGTCTCTTAGACGTGGATGTACTAATCTGCTTTACTTCACAGAAGCTGCAGGCTTCCTGCATTTCTGGAGAGAGACAATTGGGTGCAGATCAAGATCAGAAAGAACTGGGTGAGGAAGATGATGGTGATGATGAAGATGATGCCGACGATGATGATGATGGTGGTGGATGGATAACCCCTAGTAACATCCATCAGCTATGCCAGGGTGTGGGTTCTCCTGAAGTAGCGGCAAATGTCAAAGTTGGTTGTATCACTACCGATTTTGCCATGCAGGTAGATGCAGTATTTTTTATTTTTGAAAAAAAACACAATTTGTTGAACAAGCTTTTTTTATTTCTAAGAATAAAGAAGAGCTTCTCCAGAACTGGGGAGATCTTTTGTCTCCTTGTCACAGTCTGGTTTGGCCATTTCCTTTTGTTGTAGACCAGTTCATGTATTTCTGTACTATCAGCTGAATATGATATGGATCCAATTCTTTGTTGAATGTTCACTCAAATCAATATTTATGAGCAACATGATGATCTGTTCCATAATCTGGCAGCTGTTAAATCTAAATTTATTTTGTTTATTTCTCAACGCTATGAGCTTTTCATACTCTCGTACTCCGGTCTAAAGTGTGTCCAAAGTACCTCTACATATTTCTGCATTCATGTTATCAATTTATTTTTATTGTTGAAATCACAATTTGTATCTTCCCCCACTTGTGTTAATATCTTTACTTATCTGCTCTTTACAGTATATTGACCATAAATCACAAACCATCGTTGTTAAGAGAATCCTTTCTACTGTGGCTGATTTTAATCTCTTAGGCACATTAAGCGTAGTTTTCCATGTATAGTATGACTAGAATGTGCTAATGTCACTTCCTAGGAATACTAATCTACATCTGATGATGCATGTAATATCTACAAACCCATATCATTGAACATGTGTGTATTTTGGCTTTTCTTAGTGCACATTGTGGCATCACAAATGACTAGAATTGTCCCTCCTTAGAATGTCCTTATTCAGATGAGGCTTCACGTGATTTCAGTAAATGGAATGCTTATACGACAAGCTAGGAATTACATTCTTCGCTGTCATGCATGTTTCAAGTAAGTATTATTCACTTTCAAGCTTTTTAAGATGTTCTACTTTATGTGAAAGTTGTAATATATACTGGAACATTTACAAAATGTAAAATCATAATGACAATTAGCTAAAATCAAGAGGCTTCTGTAGGGCCCTTGCTTCCTGCACTCTGATCTAGTGCAGTCACTTTGCAGTCACTTCACCAAGATAGTGTGTTTATAGGGTTTACTTGCTGGAAACCCTGTTCATATGCTTGAATTGTTCACCTATGTGCACTTTCTGCCAGGGAAACTGTTAGTGCTGGCACCTCATCTCACCACACATTAAATTTAGAGTGATCAGGACACATAATAAGTTGTTAATCAGTTCATTTAAAATTTTCAAAAAATTTCAGATTCCACTGGAAAGTTTTGGAACTTTTGAATTCACTAAACTTACAAATAATTCTGACCAAGAATGCTATGGAAGTGGAATAGGTTGTTTTAAAGGAAGATACTTGGGTTAGAGATCTTAAGGGGTTTGATGAAAAGGGGTGGGTTATTCGGATTAAAAGATGTACTAAGAAAAATAGATTTGTGAAGCATACTCGATAGGATGAATAGCCTCCATCGGTTCCTGTTTTCCTATGTTCCTAATTTAAAAGACACACAAAAAATTGGAATCCAACTTTGTCTAGAGAACTGATTGCTGTTTTAATTAGGACCACTACCAACATGACCAAGGTATTCTGTCCAAACTGTGGCAACAAGACGTTGAAGAAGGTCGCAGTGACTGTGAATGAGGACGGAAGCCTTTGCATGCACTTGTCCAAGAACCCTAAGGTCCTAAACCCACGAGGATTGAGGGTGAGGTTGCTGTTCTGTTTTATCGAAATTTAAATGCAAAGAGCTTTTAGTAACTGTTATTTTCACAGATTTCCTGCTGCCGTGCCTATTGTCTATCTACGCTAAATGATATCTTGAGAAAATCCTGTTACAAATTTAGTTTGTCTAATTATAAAAACAATTTATGTCTTCAGTGTTTAGCCCAGTACATGCCATTATTTCACATACACATAAAAATATGGCGATTTCATGTGTTTCTCCCACCAGCATTCTCTCCCATTACCACAAGGTGGGAAGCACGCTCGTAATCCATTCTTGACTGAAGATCAGAACTTTCCTCAGCAACGTCTCTCCAGAAAAGCAAGAAAGAAGACCAATGTCTTTGACCCAAATTACAGCGCCAATGCTTCCCCATTTGTTGATAATGACATCAATAGCAGAGCAGCTCAACTAAACATTCGGGACAACAGCTTTGGAGCTGGAAGGCAGAGAATGAACCCAAATGCTGCGACGAAAAAATTTGTTAAGAAGAAATAAAAAAAATTGCAACCTAGTATTTTCGGTACCTCACAAAGGCTTTTTGATGAAAGAAGTGTATTTTATAAAACTATTTATGTATTAAATATGCAGAGACAGTGAGAGCTATGGAAGTTTATTATTGAATGTCTGCTTTAACAGCTCAAGACATATGATTAACCTGGTACCTGACCCAGCTGCTCTGAAGCTAGTTATCTTGCATCTACTTGTGCTTTATGAAAAGGGTATATTTATTGTGCTGATGGCGAAGGCTGGACTTGAAGCGCTTTGTCTGCTCCAAATAGATAGTCTTATCTTAAAGCATTTTAGCTGTCTCTTAAATAACTTTTCATCTATATAATTACTTCAGAAGACTCTGGGTTGCATTTTAAAAATGTCATGTACAAACGTGAATACATTTACACTGATATTCACTAAAAATGAATAAAATGACTAAACAAACTTGTGGTCCTTTTTTTAAAAAATGTTATGTAGGAAAATACATTAATCTGCAGTTTTAACCTTAAAACATTTATTTGTTTGTTGCTTCAGTCAATTCACTGGTTAAATCAGTTCTCATTGACCACATAATTTCATTTGATTAAAAGTACCTTTAATTAGTGACATTTAATAGATAGTTTATCTTAAAGTGGTTTACCAAATTTATCTGATTTGGATGATTCACCCCCCAAATTTGGTGGATACAAAAACATGCACAAAGAGCAAGGTGTGCTTCACTTTTCACACGCTTATCCCTGGATTGTCTTAATTTTGTGTAAAAAAAATGCAGTGGAACATGCCTACTTTTGCAGAACAGCAAGTGCACTATTTTTGTTCTAATAATTGAAGCACAAACTTAACTAGTCAAAAATAAACCAAAAATATGATTACAATTTTCTGCAGTGTTCTGCAACTCATCATTTTTTAATGATTTCCGCAATCATTTATGCTTCTTGCTGAGTATTAGTGCTCACTTAATTCTGTTTCATTATAGCAACAGGAGAGCGTTAAGCTGCACAGCAGTGTCTACATACAGCAACTAATAAGGGTTACTTATATATGAAACCTGCCATTTACATATGAGCACTGAAAGTGTTTATTTAACTCAATAATTATTTCTCCCAGCATCTTGACCCCAGATTTTTGAGATTAAGTGATTAAAAATGTTTTATTAAAGCATTTTATTTCACAAAAACTGTCAAATAACAGGAATAATTTGTACTTTAACAAACATCCAATTGACAGATGGAAGCATTCTAGAATTAACTCTCTGAATTTTCTGTAATTTCTGATCTGTGATAGTTGTTAAAATAAGTTTACAGAATTTAAGTTCCAATATATAAAGTAAAATATTGTGTGTGTGTTTTAGAAAAAGAAATTAACCCATAATCTAAAAGGAAAAATATCCAATAATCCAGTAAATAATGGTGTTTTTTTCAATTTGAGAACACAATTTTATGTCTGTTGTGTAATGACAAATTTGTAGTTCATTAGATTTCTTGTTAGTAACCAGCTAACTTGATAATCCGAGGGAATGAAAGTAGATTGAATTTAGTAGATGTGTGCATGTGTTAACAGTGTCAATTCATAGAACCATAGCCTGGACAGTCAAATTCCCTTTAGATTTTCTATCGTAACATGAACACCAAAAGTTGAAAGATTTCAGAAGTGAATATTTTGAGATATCACCAAAAAGCGAAACTAGTTGCTGAAATCGCAATTGTATGTCAAAATTGGCTGGAATACGATTTCCCCTCTATTTTGCAAACTGCATTGATGAAAGTGTATGTACGTACACAGGGTCAAATGTATCAGAGCAAAGTGTGGTACCAAGCTTAAAATGCTTTGTTACATCAAACGGTTGCACATTTGGCAGACCTGATACAGAAATAACCTTATTTAGAGTTCCCAAGTTCAATGAGTCAGAAAAAAATGAAGCATTTGTCAGCTGTTCATTCATTCATTCATTGCATTAAATAATGGAATCTGTATACCCGTAGTCAAATTTTTGAATTAAAAAAAACTATGTTACAAATGCAGATCATAAATGACTATTGACGCAATACTCTGATTCCTCGCTGGCTGTGTGTTGTTTACTCTCGGTCACTTCTGCTTCAATGCTGAGTACAGATGAGGATAACTCTGCCGGCTGTTGTTCGTTAAGCTTCTCGGCTTTAGCTTCAGTCTCTAGTCCAGTGCTTGCCAACACTTCAGTGGACGGTGTCTGTACCACCTCACCATCAAAGTTAGTCTTGCTTGAAATTAGAATTTCCTTCTTTGGCAGGATAAAAGCAAGCGATTCTTGAACAAAATCTAGGTTGATGTACCCAATAGAGCCATATTTGTGAATCCGAGTTGGAGGAACACCTGCCGATAACAGAAAGTTTGCGAAACATGTTGAGGTAAGATAATAGATGACATGCAGCATCCAAGTCACAAGACATAGAATAGATCAAGTGCATCTATTGAAGGAAAACATGCATCAAATACATTAAAACAGAAGTTTAAATAGTATGGAATATAGCTAACTTATTACCAAGGATCTGTGCAACTTGTGTTGGTGGGAAAAGCACTTGTAAACATCGGTTCAGATATGGGATGAGGTCTTCAGTGAAGGTAGCACAGAACTGGACAAATAACTCCCGCTCTTTTTCACTGAAAGCAGTTTCCTCAGCTCGATGAAAAGACAAGATCAATTTTGTTATCTGGAAACCAAAATAATTAGCAAAATGTGATTTGAGCATTTTGGGGGATAGCCTATTCAGACCTTTACATCACTCTCTAACTGGGAGGGTAGGAGTTATATGCTTCACTAGTTACCACAACAAGATAGTTCAATGAAATTTTTCCTTTGTATCTCCCAAATACACAGAATAAATGTAAATTTATTGCTACAAAAATCTATTCAATTGCATAGTTCACTAACTTAAAACTGTTAATTAAATTTGTGATTTTTCTGCCGGTGTATAGGTGAACAGCCAACCATTTAGCAAAATTGTACATTAAATCAAGGTTCTAGGATGAAGGGAATTGTTGTAGTAATTACACTAACTATAATACCCACTATGTTGTGCGTATGAAATCAATACTAAGTGGTTTGGCATTTAGTTATTTAGTTATTAACTTATTTGCTGGTATCAGGAATGCTATATATTCTAGGACTGAGCAAGTCGCTGAAATACCTTCACAAGTGAATCTTCCAAACACAGGGTTACTTCCTGTGCAAGAGCTATGGGACAGCAGAGACGGAGATCATTGAAGGCCGATAAAATGTTGTTCAGAAAGCAAGCCAGTGGTGGGAAGTCCAGAAGCATCATTGGAGGATGGAGAGTATTTGGTTGACTGGTTGAAACTGTCGCTGCGATTGTGCTCCCCAGCACGGATGGGGCAGAGATTAGCGTGTACAGATTCATGTCTTCCTGAAACCTCTCTATTGCTTCCTGCACAGATTTCGAAAAGGCGTTTATTGCAACCCTCTGAAACATAGGAGCAAGCTGTCCACGAAAATCCGCACCTACACGACTAAAGGAAAGTCCAAAGTACATGCACTGGCCCAGCAATGAATCTAAGCGGGTTCCCACACCCCTCTGAAGATCCAATTCCAGCTTCTGAAGAAACTCAGACATCTTCTGTACCACCCAGCCATGAAAAATTGCACTTTCATTCACAGCTTGATCATTGGAAAGCAACAACGGATCCTCGTCTGAGAAAATAGCACGGTACTGAGTGATAATGTCAAACAGATGGACACGGCAAGCCTCAATCGTTTTAGTTATGTGGAAGTAAGGATCATTCTCTGATATGGCGCCAAGGATAGACTTTAACCAGGTATCTCGGGCTTGAAGGAACTTTATTCTTAATTCTGCTTCAGTGAACACGTCCATTCTCCTCAAATAGCCTATGACCCGCAAACAAGCAGGAAGTTGCACATTGGTGCGGAGCTGCTGGATGAGTTGGTTCAACATCAGCTGCGCAGATGAACGCACTTCAGTTACTATCCCCTGTGTGAGACATGTAATAAAAGTATTAGGAGGGTTAAAGTGCATAATGTACAATAAAGATCTAATCTGCTCTTCTCTGATCAAATTAATATCGGAGAGTACAATCTGCTTGTGTAAACCTAGGTACCACACAGTCCCAGAATCCATATTGTCAACATTCGCTACCACAGCAATTTCTAACCGATCAAGTGAAATTTGTCCGCGTTGCATATCACAACATTATATAAACCAGATAAAACGATGTGTAGAATTGTACACGGAGCCAGAGGCAACCCAACTGCATCTTTTTTTGTTTGTGGGTGCACTGCTGTGCGCAATTGGCGGTCGCGTTTCGCCCACAAAATCCACAGTCCAATCTACTTGACAATACATCCCGTGAAGCGCTTTGAGACGTCTCAACAGTTTGATAAGGCGCTTTCTCAAATTCGAGGATTACTATCTTTTTTGATGATCATCATTATTATCATTATTATCATCATTATCATTATCATCATCTAAACATCCAAGTAGCATTCGGGAGAAAAACCAGCACCTGTATAACAGGTATGGAGGAGTACTTCTTCTCCAGCCTCTTGACATAGGAAGCGAGCTCCAGGGCTTCCTCGTAGTAGCCGTTCCTAACGCAGGTGTCCATGAGCTGCGGGATCTCCAGGATCTCCAGGATCTCGGTGTGACGGTTCAGGGTCAGGCTGTTCATCCTCCTGCTGGCTCCCGTGGCCTCCGTCTCCTGCATGAACTGCCTGCATTTCTCGCTCAGGCCCGGCAGCTTCTCCAGGGCCCGGGAGACGTGGGTCTCCACCAGGCCGAAGTCGCGGTAGATCTCCTTGGTGCACTCGGCCGTCTTGATGAAGGTCTTGTAGTTGGAGAAGGCCAACTCCTGGGTCTGCTGCAGGATCTGGGCCCGCTCCTCGGCCAGCCTCTCGGGCTCGCGGCTCAGCTTGTCCACGCCGTACGAGCTGAGCTCCGACAAGTACAGCGTGAAGTCGGGGTTCTCCCTCCAGTTGTCGGGAAAGGAATCCTTGAAAATCGACGCCAGGATGCTCTCGTCCTCCACGTCGATCCCCGCGGCCGCCATCTTGGTAAAGGGACCGCGACTTCCGGTCCCGACCGGAAACTCGACCGGGAAGCCAGCCGGCCGCTCGGAGGCCACGTGACCAGATTGGGCGGGTTCGAGCCCAATTGGGCGTGTTCTGGTGGCACAGGGTGTACGCAAAGTCCTGTCGAGTCCTGTAGCTCAGTGGTTAGTGCACTCGCTTTGCAAGCGAGAGACCTGGGTTCAATTCCAGGCAGAGGGCGAAACCTTGGGCAAGTTTCCTTACTCCACACAGAGCCTAATAATAATCCCTCCAAAACCAAAAACAATAATAAATTGGTCATTTTCAATCCACGACTGTTTGTGGGACACTGCTGTGAGCAATTGGCTGCCGCGTTCGCCCACAAATATACAGTCAATTCACTTTACAGTGTGTTCTGTGAAGCGCTTTGGGACGTCCTCCCGACGTGAAAAGCGCTATATCAAATGCAAGGATTATTATTGATGATCACTGTATTCAGAAGTACTTAATCGTGTTCAGTCGCAGGCGCACATACGGTGAGAGTGAGCTCCGTCGTTTTCCCGGCAGATATTGTGATGATCCGTCGCCACGTCCAGTGAGACGCTCTCCGTAACGTGGACAGAATGAGGAGGAAGCTACTGGTATCAGAGATTGTTACACTCGACTCATTTCCCATCACCGCCCCCCCCCCCCCCCCCCCCCCACCCCCTTTCAAGACCTTTTCTTACACCGTTCCCAAAACCACTCTGGGCTGCATATCACAACATATAATTCTGCGAAATATAATTCTGTTGGATAAAGCAGGAGGTATGATGCTAAAAATCAGTGATGTATGAGGTTCACTTGTTCGAAAAATATATCTTGTACTCAAATTCGTGAAAAAATCTCTGAACATCACATTTTAAAATTTATTCCAGAAAGTCTGCTTGATTATCTGAGCGAATTAAGCCACCTTGAAAACGCTACAGCCATTTCATGATCCTGAGGATTGAAGTACAGGTTAATTTCCATTGGAACTAAATGAGAACTTACAATGAGACGCGTAGAAAACCAAATTCTAATTGATAATTAAGATGATTGACATCAGAATCTGTGGTAGCAATGGCGGGGTGGGGGGGAGTGAGGGATGGTGAAATCACACTGAGTGCAGAGATGACTAATAATGTGATTAGTATAACTTGTTGAAGGCACTACAGTACACTTCTGTTGATTTTAAGTGAAATCAAAGTGAAATTGGTGTCCACAAGGTGGCTATCTCTACCCTTCCAAAGCCTGCCAAATTAAAGGGCACAGACCTAACAGCAACACAGCTGAAATCTCAGAACATCATAACTTCTCCAATAACACTATCCAAACAGAAAATACTGTATAATTAACAAATGAGGGAGAGAGAAAAAAAGCCCAACACATACATCTGCTTGCTGTAAACTCTAATGTAGCTGAAGTTCAGGAACACACTGTGGCAGGGGCATGGAACCTGTACTATTCCTTGATCTAGGGACATTGTTAGAGGTGAAGAATAATAGGACAAGGATAGGTTATAATACTACTATTACTGCTAATAATAATCCTTGCATTTGACACAGCGCTTTTCACGTCTTCTAGACGTCTTAAATGCTTCACAGAATATACTGTAGAGTGAATTGACTGTAAATTTGTGGGTGAAACAAAGCAGCCAATTGCGCATAGGGGAATCCTTCTCTCTATTTTTGATAAATAGTGTGGATTCCTCCCTAGAAGTTTTACTTCTAAAATATTGTACTGTGGAAATATTGTTTGCTCAATATTTGTTCAGCTAAAAATTTGTATCCGCAGAATATATTGGCTGCCGCATTTTACCCACAAAATATACAGTCAATTCACTTTACAGTATATGTTGTGAAGCGCTCTGAGACATCTCAACATCATGATAAGGCGCTAAATCAAATGCAAGGATTATTATAATTATTATTCATATCATTTTTTATCCTTTGTTTTCAGAGTGGGAAGTCTTGTTTTCTCCTATCCCACGGGCTGATGAGAACTTGCCCCGAAGATAAAACAAGACAATTTCACAAAGTGGCAGGCAAGAAAACAAATGTTGAATTTCTGTGATGAATGTAGAAATAAGGGTTATTGCATTGAAAGCCTGTAACCCTTTGAATTAGCTGAAGTGTTTTGAAAGCAGAGATTAAGCTTGCAGCTGATTTCACATGGATTTTATTCTTTGGATTACTCTCTGCCAGTTCCTCACTTCTTCAACTGGTAAATACCATCGTTTATGTGTATGTGGCTGTCTATGGAGTCCTGTAGCTCAGTGGTTAGAGCACTCGCTTTGCAAGCGAGTGAGCCGAGTTCAATTCCAGGGCGAAACCTTGGGCAAGTTTCCTTACTCCACACAGAGCCTAATAATAATCCCTCCAAAACCAAAAAAAAAAACAATAATAAATTGGTCATTTTCAATCCATGACTGTTTGTGGGACATTGCTGTGCGCAATTGGCTGCTGCGTTCGCCCACAAATATACAGTCAATTCACTTTACAGTGTGTTCTGTGAAGCGCTTTGGGACGTCCTCCCGACGTGAAAAGCGCTACATCAAATGCAAGGATTATTATTATTATTATTTATGGATGAGGATGAATCATTGGTGGGATGAATTGTGTGCTTGTCGACTTCAGGGAAGTTAGCACTGATAAATAGTACACTTTTCTATTTCAGGCACCTAGTATTGGTGTCAAGCACTTTCATATCAGATATAATGCAGTTAAATACAGAGCAAAGCTCTGTCATTTGTGATATACCTTAGGCGAAATCCTCTGAAGAGCATGGCAACCAGTGGGTGGAAGAAACTGCCCAAACACATTTCACTTTGAATCCCTGTAGCCGATAGACAGAGGAAGACACTCAGCATAATTGTCTGCCCTGGATTCAAAACCATGTCCAGAAGTGAAAGCCTAGTGTGTGTGTGACACCTCCCCCTCTCCCCAAACCATTCTTTTCAAGCTTTGTCTTTTCTTAAGTCTGTACAGCAGATGTGTCTGTCTTTACCCTCTGCAGCTGGTGCACCCGACGCAATAGGCATTTTCTCTTTGGGGATTGAATGACCCTGACAATAATCGGGTTAAATCATTGAAAATCTTCATTCCTTTTCCTGATATACTCCACTATTGTTTCACAAAAGAGAGTGAGGTGGCTTCTATGTGTGGCAACAACAGTTGATTGTTTGAACATTCCTCCAACAGCGAGTAGCTGGCTGTGTAATGAGGAGACTAGAGGTGCAATTTCTGAAAAGGAGGGTAATTCAGTCTGCTAATCACCTTGCGTCAATCTGACTCAAACATCTGAGTATAAAGGGTTAATGCTTTGGCCCTAATCCATTCGGTAGAATCCAAACTTTCCGTTTTCCCTTATTGTGGCTTCAAGGGCAGAGGTTTAGTATCAGGCTAAAAATGCTAACACATCTCACTGACAGCAAAGGAATGAATCCTTTTAAGGAATCATTCAGAAAGATACAAATGTCCTGCAGTGAGATTGCCTTCAAATACACAGCCACTGAGTCTGAAAGCAATTACCTGTGAAGCACTTTGAAAGACAGTTTAATCGTATAGGTGTGATATCAAAAGCGAGAATTATTAATTATTATAGTACTATATTACTGAATTGGAACTTATGCTGCTATCTCCAAATAGAATATTATTATGACAGTAAATCCATCCTCATCTTATTCTCCCAATTTCTAGCATAAAAAACATTCAAGAATATTTCAACACACTCTGTTAAATTAACCCTGTTTTCCTATTCTAACTGCAGCTGTTAGCAGTTATGATCTATTATTGTATAGAATATTCATGCCCATGTTGTGAGCTTGGAGACTAGTGGAATTGCAAAGTTTATTTGTGTTAAAACCTTTTATAACGTAATATGTATTACTACAATGACGCACACTAAAAGGTTTAAAATGTGTGTCCCAATGTCTCGGGCAGCAGTTCAGGATTCCAAAGCCAACAACTGAAGCACCAATCTCATCATACTCTCTGATGTAATCATTGCTGTGTACAGCATACAACACAGCGACTCAAGGCCAGACTGTGAGTCCTTGACAATCTGATACTTAACAAGGTTGTTTTTTGCAGAAGTATTTTTTATGAAAACTCACAATCAAATCTGTACGACTAGCAACAGTGCAAATACTGTACCAGATCAATTTTTCTAATATAATATTAATTACAATCCTTGCATTTGATATAGCGCCTTATCACGTCCTCGATTCATCTCAAAGGATATACTGTAAGGTGAATTGATTGTATATTTACGCATCTTACACATCTGCTTTTCTGAATTAGACGTGCTTTCCATTGGCAATCTAATCAATAACAATATGAATGTCCTGTATTGTGCAATTCAGCAGTTTACTTCTTTTCTTGCTCCCACGTTCAAAGTGCTGCCTGATGCTGGGCTACTTCCTCAGGGCACCAGTAACTAACTATCTGCTAACTTGCCCAGTTATGCATTCTCCATCTGTGAGTGTACACACCAAGTGTGAGCAGCATATTCAAACTGCGGGGAAAGGAGTTGGGGAAGGGGCAGCTATCACAGCCAATCCTCTTTCTGCGAAACTGTCCATGCAGGTGGAATTTCCAACAGGGGTCACTGCACAGTAAACAGCAACTAGTACCCTGGCTGATTTTTTCCTCCCTAGCCTGGGGCCGTTTGATAAAGGCTCACTGTCAACTCTGTTTGAGTTCAGCTAATTCAGCAACGACCTGACATTGAAACTGGGCTTCCTCAGTCCATATCAAACAGGAAGCCACACTCCGTGTATTGTCTTATTTACTGTTCAGACCTGGAACTCAAGCCCTAACTATTGTATTCCATGCCCTGCCCCACAGACAGACCTAGAAAGTCTAACTAACTAAATTCTCTTGACTATATTGACATCTGACAAGACTGCCTTATGAGCAGACAAACTTCCAGTGCTTGAAGCAGGATACTATAGGTTCCAGGCAATGTGGCAGCTGGCAGAAGGTCAGGTTAGCATCCGAGCAGACACCCGCATCTGACTAAACAAACTCATTAAAATAGACATGTCACAACATTTACCAAGTGGGCTTTTAATGTATCAAAGTAATTTCTGGTGTATTCAAACAAGGTCACTTTTTCAACTTCAATACAACACAATACAATAAATGTTTTGCCGTAATCAATATAAAACATACTCATGCAATGTCAGATTGTGAAGAATCAATCTCTTTCTCAAAAGCAATTATTTTCAGATTTGGGTATTGGAGATTTCAATGTTGCGGAATTATAAAATCTCAATGCTTTCTTTCTTTCTTTCTCCATAGCCTTGTGATGTTATGAATATTTGTGTTGCTGGGAGAAACACACCTCTCTTTTCAAGTAATGCGGTAAGAATGTTCTAAAATCCACATGAATAGTCATTCAGGAGCTCAGCTCAACATCCTATCTGAAGGACAGCACGTCCAGTAAAGTAATACTCCCCAGCACTATATTAGAATGTGAGCCCATTTCAAAGTCCCGACATGGGGCTTGAACTCACTACCTCAGAGGCGGAATAATCACAATTGAGCCAGGCTGACACCAAGGATCACCACACACAAAATCTGATTAGACACATTGATTTCCTTTGTAACAGTACAGCGGTGAACGATCTGAATTGCTTTTAATCCATTTACAAATAAAGTGGACTTGTGATTCAAAGAACCCTACAATTTAGGAATTCTTCCAATGTTGCTTCAGAGACTATCTGAATGTGACACGATCAGAGATATCGCTTTGACATGTTAGAGGAATAACATCCACGTGTATACATTGCATTTTTTTTATCAATCAAAGATTGTTACAGGCTGTGAAATATCCATAGCCATCCTTATTTCAATAAGAATTTTCCTGAAAGTTCCTTGGAGTTTAGCTACTACAACAACAAGTTTGTAATAACATTTATAGAGCACCTTTCACATCGGGAGGATGTCCCAAGGCGCTGGACAGTTGGGTCGGGACCCGAGCATTGGTGGGGGGAAACGGTCAGGGTGAGGGGAGGGAAGGGAGGGAGCGAGGAGGGGGTAGAGAGTCGAGAGGGGAACTGAAGGCACGGTCGAAGAGAAAGGTCTTGAGACCGGCCTTGAAGGAGGAAAGGGAGGAAGCGAAGGCGAAGGCACTGGGGGATGGAGTTCCAGAGCCCAGGGGCTGAGAGGCTGAAGGCCCGGCCACCGATGGTAGAGCGGTTAGGATGTGGGATGTGGAGCTACTGCAACTTACATCTGAGTTCTATCATATAGCTGTTAAAATTCAGCCATGCAATGCACCCATCTAGGTTTTCATAAGAAGCATTTCAATATCCTGATCTTTAAAGTGTAGATTGTCTCTACTCATTGGCAGCAGGGTGGGACATTAGAGAGAGCAGTAATATATTTTGAGGGTTGCCATTGCTAATGCTGATCATCTTAATGCTCAACTAAGTTTGAATGAGGCTACAAAGGTTAAAGATCATTGCGTTAGTGACAA